ATGGCGCTGCTGGCCACCTCGCTGCCCGACGGCATCGCCGTCAAGACTTTCGAGGACAGAATGGCAAGTAGCCCATGGGCGGCGTGGGCAGGCGCAGCTGGGCACTGGGCACTGTGGGCCCCGGCCTTCGGGCTGATGCCTGAGAGGCCGCCCGCCTTGTGAGGAGGCGAGAAGCAGTCTCGGTGAGGGTGGGGCCATGTCCAACACCTGGGCCCAGGCCGGTGGCCGCTGCTCTCCTCCCTCTGTGTAAAAGTCAGTGTCAGGTTATCATTGGTATATAATTGTTACCCGAGTCCAGTTTTCTTTTTTTAAAGCATATTTTCATTGACCTCAGGAAAGGAGAGGGGGAGAGAGGCAGAAACATCACTGATGAGAGAGAAATGTTCATCATTTGCCTCCCACACACCCCCCACTACGGACCGAGCCCATAACCGGGCACATGCTCCCAACCAGAATCGAACCTGGGACCCTTCATTCCGCAGGCCAATGCTCTGTCCATTGAGCCACACCAGCCAGGGCCCAGACGTCTTTCTGAAAAGTTAGCCCATTACGGAAAAGGCGGAGGTTGCCTCTGGCCATTGCCCACCTGGCCCTCGGGGTCCTGACTTGAGGCGTTCGGTGCGTTTCCTTATAGGTGATGCTTTTTATATTTTACATTCTGATGTATCATCATAAACACAAGCTATTCTGTATGATTTCTTTTATGTAAATAGCATGGCATCGCACACACCATCTGTAACTTGCTTTTCTCACTTAGCAGGATAATTTCAAGACCTGTCCAGCTGGTTCATGTTGGCCTAGTCTCCGTCCCTTCTTAGCCACAGAGTAGCCCTCATGTGATAGCATCACGCTCACTCCCCTCTGGCCTGGTGGCGGGCCTGGGTCTGAGTCATGCTGCCCGCGCTGTGTCATCTGTGCCAGGAAGGGAACGGCCCCTCCCCCTCCCCGGTTCTTGTCCACAGACTCTGCCGGCCCTCGCTGTGCCAGGCCCCTGCGGCAGGAGCTGGAGGGGCCCGAGGCCACAGAGGGTGCCGCTCAGGTGGCCCGCGGGGCTTGGCTCTTCTTGGCTTTTAGGAAAGTCTGTTTGAAAACTCTAGCCTCGGCTGAGGGGGAAGGGAATAGTATTTTGTTGTTATTTTGTTCTGTTTTCCCCCAATCTCCCTCAGAGGGAAAGGGACGCAGTGCAGGAACCTGAGGTCCACAGTGGCTCCGAGAGAGCATTCCCGTCCCCTCCCCGGCAGGGCCACTGACCACCCCACGTGACACAGAGCTCGGTGTCCGTGGCTCTGCCCACGTGTCCTCCGGAGCCACACCCGTCCCTCTGCAGCGTCCTTCCCTCTGATGGCTGTCATAGTTCTTGCCTGGCTGGGCCTGGGCCAGGGCCGGTGTTTGAGGAAGCTTCTAAAATAATGGTCAGAGAGAAATAAAACCTGGAAAGTTCCTTTTACGCCAGGAGTTCGAAGGCGCTAGGTGGTCTGTCGGGGGTGGGGGGTGCATCAGCTTCTCGCCGCGGCCGCGTGGGTAGCCGCGGGTGCTGCGCTGCGCCCGCCGCTCGGGGAAAGCGCAGGGCAGACCTGTGTGCGGAGCCCCTGCCAGCCACGCCCCCTCCCCCTCCCAGGACCTCTTCTCAGCCCTGATCAAGGGCCCCACTCGCACCCCCTACGAGGACGGCCTCTACCTGTTTGACATCCAGCTCCCCAACATCTACCCGGCCGTGCCCCCCCACTTCTGCTACCTCTCCCAGTGCAGTGGCCGCCTGAACCCCAACCTGTATGACAACGGGAAGGTGTGCGTCAGCCTCCTGGGCACCTGGATTGGAAAGGTCAGTCCCGTGCCCGCACCGGCGGGATGGGGGACGGGCCGTCGGGGGTGTCCGGGGCAGAGGTGACCGTGCGTGTGTTTCAGGGGACAGAGAGGTGGACGAGCAAATCCAGCCTCCTCCAGGTGCTCATCTCCATCCAAGGTACGGCGGAGGGCCCGGTGCTGCGGGGAGCTGCCGTCCCCGGGGGGTGGCGGGCAGCCGGTCCTGACGGCTCCCCTCGCAGGTCTGATCCTGGTGAACGAGCCGTACTACAACGAAGCCGGCTTCGACAGCGACCGGGGCCTGCAGGAGGGCTACGAGAACAGCCGCTGCTACAACGAGATGGCGCTGATCCGCGTGGTGCAGTCCATGACGCAGCTGGTGCGGCGGCCGGCCGAGGTCTTCGAGCAGGAGATCCGGCAGCACTTCAGCACCGGCGGCTGGCGGCTGGTGAACCGCATCGAGTCCTGGCTGGAGACGCACGCCCTGCTGGAGCAGGCCCAGGCCCTGCCCAACGGCATCTTCAAGGACAGCGGCTCTGCAGGGCCGCCCGGTGCGGCCGAGCTCTCAGACGGCGGCCGGGAGGAAGCGGAGGACGGCGGGCTGGCCGCTGGGGAGGCCTCCCCAGGCTCAGACTCGGAGGGCGGCGCCCAGGGCCCGGCCGCAGCCGGCAGGGACCACACAAACCAGGCTTCGGAGGCCGCCCCGGACGCCTCGGTGCCGCCCAGTGTCAAACCAAAGAAGCGGAGAAAGAGCTACCGGAGCTTCTTGCCCGAGAAGAGTGGCTACCCCGACATCGGCTTCCCCCTCTTCCCGCTTTCCAAGGGGTTCATCAAGAGCATCCGCGGCGTCCTGGCCCAGTTCCGGGCTGCTCTGATCGAGGCCGGCATGCCCGAGAGCGCAGGCGACAAGTAGCGCCCGCCGAGGAGTATCGCGGTGGGAGAGGCCAGCACCGCCCCCTTCCCCCAGCCCCTTCCCCTCCCACTCCCCCGGCCCCTGCAAGCTCCCCTGCCCTCCTCCTGCTGAGTTTGATGCTGACGTGCAAGGAGTTTCTTGAGATGCTGCCATTTCTGTTCGGAAGCAGTCTTCCAGCAGGCGAGCCTGTGCGGAGCCGGCGGAACCCGTTGCTGACCGTCCACTCTCCCCGTCTCACCCGGGCGGTGTCGGCACCTGGCCCCTCGCCTCCCTCTCGGGTGGAAGGCAGAGTTTTCCGAGGGCCGGGCTCCGGGCTTCCGGGGCCCTGAGCTTTGCAGAGCAGCAGAACGAGGGCCGTGCCTTGCATGAAGTGTGGGCTGCTCCGGCCACTTCCCTGGTCCCTGTCATCCTCTTCAGTGCCATTGTAGCTTCCCCGTGTCCCACCACTGCCTCCAGGTCCTCCCTCGGCCCCAGCATCACTCCCCTGGGAGCTGCGGCCGCTGTCACTGACGCCTGGCTCTGTCCCGGCCCACGTCCCACAGGACAGCCCGCAGGCCTGAACTTGCTCTCAGAGACCAGGCCGGGCTCGGGTGCCACCAGACGTGGTGGCGCTCACACTGACGCGGTGAGGCCTGGGAGCTGCTGGGAGAGAAACAGCTGTAGGTGCCTTGCTCTTCCTGCCCGCGCGGCTGGGTGGGCAGTCCGGCTTCACGGCCTCGCCTGCTTGAACCGAAGCCAATGCCCGCTCCCCGCTCAGTCCCGTCCCAGGACCCCCGAGGCGGGAGCAGCAGCACATCCAGGCCGGCCGCGCTGGGCCTCTCCCACGGACTCTGCCCCTCCCACTACCAAATCTCGCGGGGAGGTGGCCTGTGACTCACACGGAGCCAGCCCTCTCCCGGAGGAGGCGGCCTGTCAGCCCTTCCTCAGATCCCACTCAGTCTGAGGCGGCGGGCGTGGGGTCTCCCTCGCAGAGACGGGCCCAGAGGTTTACACGTTTTCTAAGCTTTTGATAATGTGAAGCTCCAGGTTAAGAGGATGCTGTTGAGCACAGTGCAGGTATGTAATTTTTGGTGTATGTATGTAATATTTAAGGTTGGAAGAAAATAAATTTCAAAAGCAAAGATATTAACTCCTATTAGAAACACAAAGAAGCCAAAGCATGATGCGTCTTGTCCGCCACAAGCTGGCTCCTCGCTCGAGCTGTGCCGTTTCCACCCGGCGGGCAGCAGCCGCGGGGAGGGGCCCGGCCACTTCCCGGAGCAACACGGGAGCGGCCGGTGGCCGTGCTTCCGTGCGCCGTTCATGTGGAGATGTGAATGCTACTGCTTACGATCTGTATAAAGTGCTGTGTGATTAAACCCTTTTTTTACTTGCATTTTTTTTTTTTTTTTGGTTTGGCTCATTACAATGTACAAAAAGACAAGGTGGCACCATTAAACCTGCCTCTGCCATTCACGCCGGCTCTGTGGCCTTTCTTCCCCCCGGGCACCTCACACCCTCCCCGGGAAGGAGGTCCTGTTGGGGGGGGCGGCCCTCCACTTGGCCCTGCCCTTGGTGCTTCTGTGCCTTCCGCATTCCCAGAGGCACCGCGGAGCTCTGGCTGGGGGTGGGGGGCGGTGCACCTGCCTCTGGGCAGGGCTGTGTCAGCAGCGTGGCTGCCTTCCAGTGCTGGGAGCTGGCATGGGCGCACCTGCCTGGGCCGTAAGCCAGAGTACTGCCCAGTTGGGAGCCTGGCATCTGCCCCTCCCTGCTGCTTCCTTTTAACTGCTGCCCGACAGTGCCCACAAGGTTGGGCCAGAGGAGGCCGCGCAGCCTGGAGCCTCGGTGGAGGGATGACCAGCTCTAAGAGGGAACAGGTGCATCCCTTGGGGCTGTGGTCCTTGGTTCCCCAACGCCCCTTCCTTGAGGCACTGTCCCTTTCCACGGGGACCAGCTGTGTGTCTAGGTAAGACTGGCATACTGTGTTTCCCTGAAAATAAGACATCCTCCGAAAATAAGACCTAGTGCAACTTTGGGAGAAAAAATTAATATAAGACACTGTCTTATTTTCGGGGAAACAGGTTAGTAGCTCTGAGCTGGCTGCCCACCTGCGGGGTGTCTGGTGGCTGAGCTCCCTGGCTAAGAAGGGGGTTTCATCGGTTTCATCATTCAGATACCCGGGCCAGCTCTGGGCTTGTGCTCAGCACCACAATGACTGCCCACTCCGGGAGGCACCCTGGGCATTACATGGAATACTGGAGAGACCGCTCCATTTCCTCCCGCCCCTCGGATCAGACCACGAGGCTGGCAATGCCACTTTATTTGGATTTGAGTCCCGGGGTGGGGTTCCCAGAACAATAGAGTGGCTTCCACACACAATGGGCAAACCAGCTGGGTCCCTGCCCAAGGCCTCAGCCTGGCCTTTGGCGGGCAGAGCAGGTCCTTCTGAAGCACAGCCTCTCCCCCTCGGGAGTCCTCCCCCCGACGGGGGCTGGGACAGGCCCTCCACGGGGACGGGGGAGGGTCCTGAGCACAGATCACACCAAGTAGACAGTAAGGCACAGCCAGGCGAGGGGTCACACGGGGTCTTATGGCGGAGGCGGCTGCTGGCGGGGCGGCCGCGGCCGCGGCTCCGGCAGGGAGGAAGACTCGCTGACCATCCATAAGTAGTTGGGGTGCACCTGGCCCTGCACAGCCTCGCTGACCATCAGCTCGCCGTCCACGGTGAACATCCCCTTCCCGCCCTTGGGCTGCAGGCGGAAGGCCACCACGGGCTCGTACACCAGGTAGGGGCAGTCGCACTCCATGTGCCTGCCCTTCTCCATGGCCAGGAAGAGGCGTAGCATCATGGCCCGCGACGCGCCGGCCCGCACGTAGAACAGGTGCATGGCGCCGGCCGCCGGGAGGTCCATGGGGGCCACGAACATCTCGCTGCCCAGGTGGGAGTGCATCATCACCAGCACCAGCACAAAGTCCTGCTCCGGCACCACCGTCCAGTGAGCGGGCACCGGCTGCTCCAGGGGCACAAGGTGGGCGTCCACAAAGCCCTGCTGGGCCTCGCGGGCCAGCTCCGGGGAGGAGGGCAGGGTGGAGGCCCCCCGCTCCGCGGGCAGGTAGGCCAGCTGGCCCCGGTAGACGCGCAGGGCTGCCAGGCGCAGGAGGGTGCCCATCGTGAAGCGCATCTTCCCCAGGCGCCGGAACTTCTCGCTTTCGATGTCCACGTCCGCGATGAAGCCCCAGGCCAGGCTGAGCACCGAGAAGACCCGCTGCCCTGACCCCATCTGCAGCGACAGCAGGCTGGCGGGCGCCAGCCGCCGGCGACACAGCATCAGCGTGCAGTTGTTCAGGAGCGCTTCGTTGGCCACCTGCTCGTAGCTGTGGGGGAAAGGACTCATGCATCCTCTGCAGAGCCCCTCCCAGGGAGTGGGGGTGGGGGGGGCAGGGGGCAGGGAGACGAGCAGGTAGAGGCAGCCACGAGAGGGCCCCAGCACTGAGGGTGGGAGCTCCAGCAAAGAGGGAACGGAAGTTACCCTGGCAGATGAGATTTCCTAAAAGAAACCCAGGCAGTGGGCCCGCTCTGAGGGGAAACCGAGGCCTGCTCCGGCCCTGGGTTCTCACCCCGCATAGTGGTTCAGAGAAGCTGCCAGCGCGTTGCCGGAACCGGACGGGAGGCTACACAGGGGCTTCCGGATGGCAGTCACCCAGTCGGGCCGCTCCATGAGCCCGTTCACCACCTGTGAGAGCACAGCGGCCTCAGCCTGGCTCAGCCTGGGGATGCCCCTCCCCCTCCCCCTCTCCCCCCTCCTCCCTCCACGCCCCCGGTCCCCCCGCAGGCCTCACCTCGTGCATTAGCCCGTCTCCAGACATGACCACCAGCGCGTCCCAGGATCCCAGCTCCTCCGTCCGCATCAGCTCCTGCGCGTGTTTCCGCCGCTCTGGAAGGGGGCAGGCCAGGTGGCTATGGAGGCTTCAGTCCGTGGGGGCTCCGCCACCGCCCCCCTCGGGGAGGCACTCACCAGTGAGCATGAGCCTGAAGGAGATGTCCGCCTGGGCCAGCTGGGGCTGCACGAGGCTCCGGAAGAGCTGCAGGCCCTTGCCCTTGCCGCCGTACGGGTTCAGCAGCACCAGCACGCTGCAGGGCTTTGGCAGCAGATTGCGGGGACCACCGGCTGCAAAGAACCAGCCTGAAAAGGCCGAGTCCCCGCCGGCCACCAGGGGGCGCGGGGCCACAGCGGGGGCGCCGGGATGGGAACGGGCCCCAGGTACCCGGGCCCTGGGTGCAGGGGGGCTGGCCAGAGGCAGCGGCCTCCCGCAGGGAGGGCCAGGGCACCCCCGGCATCGCCGTCCTTGGCTCAGGCCCTGCCACTGCCCGGCCCCGTCAGGGCCAGCGTCCCCGCCCTCTCTTTTGTCCGGCTGAATGCGCACCCTTCCCGGCTCAGGGAGAGAAGGGATCCCCTCTAGCTCTCCCCACCCCCGGCCCACACAAACCTTCATCCATAACCTCGACCCGCGGCTCCGGCTGCGCGGGGCTCCCCGGCGGCGCTGTCGGGGCGCTGTCCGCGGCGGCCGCTCCTGCCTGCGGCTCCTTATCGGCGCTGCCCAGGCGGGCGTCGCGGAGCGGGCCGTGGGGCTCGCCCTCCCCGCCCGGAGTGCGCGCTACGGGGACGCCCGCATCGTCCCCCGGGGCCGCGGGGTCTGGGGAAGAGGAGACGGCGCTGGCGGAGGCCCGGGCGGCTCCCCGCGGGGAGGGGCGCGCAGCCGGGTCCTCGGAGCCCGCGCGGGGGGCGGCGCGCCTGGGCATCGGGAAGGCGCGGGGGCCGGGGGCTCGGTCTTCGGAAAGGTCCGGGAGCCGAGGCCGGCGACACCCAGGGCGTTCCCGTCCTGGAACCCAGCTGCCAACCGCTGCGCCGGGGCCCTCCTCCCGGGCCGCCTCGGGTTCCGGCCCGACGGGTGAGTCAGGGCCCCGCGGGCCCTCAGTCCGAGCCGTCACCTCCCGCCCCTCCCCCGGGGCCGCGGGGGGAGGGTCCGGTGACGTAGAACCCACAACGTGACACCGCGGGGCACGAAGTTTGGGGCGAGCCATCCCCAGCCCCGAACCGCCCCGGTGGCCGGGCCCCCGCCCGGCTCCGGAACGGCCGCGGCGGCCGCGAGCACCTCCGGAGGCCCCGCTCCGCCGGGCCGCGCGCCGCGATCCTGGGACCCCGAGCCCGGCCGCCAACCGCGCCGCCCTCCGCCCGCCGGGCGCCGAGGCCACGCGCTTCTCGGCCGCCCCGGGCCCCGGGCCGCGGGGCCAGGGCGGGCGGCGGCCCTACCCAGCGCGTCCGGTTTTCGGGGGGCGCCCCGGCCCCACAGCCGCTCGGCCGGCTCGCCCGCGTCCGAGGCTCCGCCGGCGGGAGAAGCGCCGGCTGCTCGGCTCCGCCGCCTCCGGCCGCAAACTTTTCGCTCAACTTGGCCGCCCCCCGCCGGGATGCGGGAGGCCCGGCTTCCGCGCCGCCGGCCCCGCCCGCCCGCCCGCGCCGAGGGGAGGGCCCGGCGGCGGCCCGCCCCCCGCTCCCGGCGCCGCCCGCAGCCCCGGGGTCCCGGCCGGACCGCCCGGACCGCCCGCGCCGGCCCGAGCGGAGGGGAGCCGCAGCCGGCGGGCGGAGGCGAAGGTTATCCGCGGGGCCGAGCCCCGGACCCGGGCACGAGCGGCGCGCCGCGAGCGCAGCGTTCCGGGCGCGTGAAGGTGAACGCGCGGCGCGGGCTCCCCGCGAACTCGCCGCGGCCCCCGGAGTCGTAGCGGCCGGGACGGGTCCCCCCTCCACCCGCCCCGTGCCAGCCCCCTGGGGGTCGGGGGCCCGGAGCCCCCCGCGCCGGGAGCCCCTCCGCCGCCCGTCCTCCCGCGGAGCCGCCCCAGGTCCGGGGAGGGGGACCGGGGGCCGCAGGCGCCTTTGTCCGGAACCTGCGAGCGTCCACGAGGCTCCTCTGGGCCGAGAAGCTGCTCCCGCGGCCGGCCCGCCACCCCGGACGCCCGGGGGTGTCCATGGGCCTGGGGGTCCGCCCCGGGTGGGCGCCACGTGGCGCCTCCGGGGGGCCGGCGGGGACCGGGGGAGGAGCGGCCCAGGCCCCGCGGGTGGCGCCGAAGCTGGAAGAAGCCAGACCCCCGTGGGGGCCGAGGCGGTCCAGGCCCAGCGGCGCCGAGGTCACCGCCCGCACCTGCCCCACGCGCCCCCACACGCCTCCCCATCGCCCCAAAAAGCGCGAAGGGGCGGCTCTGGCCGCGCTCCCACCCCGGGGCGGGCGCAGGGTCCCCGTGGGGGGCGGGCGGGCGAGGCCCCGGCGGCGGCTCCGGCGCCTCCCCGTGCGCGCCCCCGCGCCCCGGGCATTCCTGCGCGTCCGGAGCGCCCGGGCATTCCGGGAAGGTGACTCAGCGGCGGGCCACGGGGGGAACCGGACCAGGGGGGAGGGAGGGGCCTGGGTTCGCCCGCGCCGCCCGGGTCGGATCTAGAATGTGCCAGCCCCGCACCCCGGGCCGGCGCGGGAGGGAGCGCGGCCGCAGCCGCAGTGCCGGTCACGCAACGCCCGGACCTGCCCGAGCGGCGTCCGGAGGACAGGGCTCCGCGTGGGGCTCCGGGACCGGATCCCGCCCTCGTCGTCCCTCCTCTCCGGTGCCCTCTCCCCCCACCCCGACCTCCCTCCTCCCCGGTGCCCTCTCCCCCCACCCCGACCCCCCTCCTCCCCGGTGCCCTCTGCCCCCACCCCACACCCCGGCAGAGGTCGGAGTCTGGCTTTTGGCGCCTGGAGGTCGCGGCACGCGGGATGGGGCTCCCGGAGGGAGGCGGCTGCCGGGCCGGCCGGCACCTCCCTTTCTGTCCCTCTCTCTCGCCCTCGCCCTCTCCCTCTCGGAGGGCACTGCCATCGGCCTGAGTGGCCGCCGCCTTCAAACCTTGGGGTCGGATGGGAGACAGGCTCTGGGACGGTTGTGCCTGAGTCTGCGGTGGGACGGGATGCCTCTCCTCCCGCTCCCCCGGCTGGAGCCCCTGGAGGGGGTGGGGGGATCACCCAGCGGGGGAGGGGAGGGGAGGCGGCGCCTGCTGGGCTCTCTGTGCGGCCGGGGACCCAGTGGGAGGAGGTGAAGGGCAAAGCCTCTGGCCCCAGTTCGGATCCACACAATGGCTCCTCTGTCCTGGCCGCCTCTCCCCCTGCCCCCCTCATCTGCAGACTCCGCTCTGCCCCCTCATCCTTATCACTCACACACCCTCCTCCCTCCCCCAGGCGCCTCTCCGCCCCTCTCTCCGAACTCTCCTCTCTGGGAACTCGCCCATCAGCATCTCTGGCCCAAGAGGCACGGTTGGGCAAGAGCAAGATGCTCTTCCCCTTTGGACGATGGGGAACCGAAACCAGAGAGGTGAAGGGCTTGTCCAGGCCCCAGGCCGCTGGCAGCAGCCCCAGAGGCACAGCCAGGAGCGCTGGCCCCAGCCTCCGCCCTGGTGCTCCCGGTCCCCTGGCCGGGCGGGAGGCTTTCCATGGAGCCGCCCGGTAACCCCGCTGCGCAGTCTCCCCGGGAGAGAGGACGCATCTTCAGAGCCACGCCAGGCTCCTCCCGCCTCCCGGGTCCTGAGGGAGCCGCGGTGCCGGCCAGCCCACACGCCTGGCATCAGTTTGATCTGACCTGATCACCAACCCGGAGCTTGGCATGCGGGTAATACCGGTCTCACAAGTGAAAGAAGCTGCCTCTCCATTTCCCCCGCCACCCACCCCTCATTCCTGCTTCTGGGCAGCTGCCCCAGGGGACACACTGAGCACCCCTTTTTCTTCTGCTAAAGAAAGCAGACATGGGGCCTCGCCCAGCTCTCCGGAAGCCTGGAGCCCAGGCTGCCAGGTGGCAGTGACTGGCTTTGGTGAGGCCAGGATTCCTGCCATATCTCCCTTCCCCAGGCTACGTACGAGCTACCTCCCTTGACCTCCAGCCCAGGAGGGTGCCAGGGCAAGGGGAGGGGCGCGGCCAGCTCACAAACTCTTCAGACTTGGGTCTAGGGCAGCCCCAGAGGTGGCTCAGCACCCAGCGCTTCCTAGATGCTGCTGGCCGCTCCAGGCCGGGGATGGTGGTGCTGCCCTGTGGGGAGGGGCCACAGCGTTTGGGCAGGTTCGAGCCTCGGACTGAGGAGAGGGCACAGTCCTCATGGCCACCTGCAAGTCCCCACTTGGAGGGCAGAGCCTCCCAGCACGATGACAGCCAACAGCTGTGGTGGTCAGCTTGAAACTATGGTCTGAGCACGTGGCCCCACGTGCCTGAGTGACGTGGGCTTGATAGAGTTCAGGTGCGTGTAATTGTGTGAATTGGAAACTCAGGAGAACGTGGTAAACATCTTGAGCGCGCCCTTCCTCTGCCCAGAGCCATCGGCTATAAAATAGAGATGGCTGACAGGCCGTGGTGCTGTCCCTAGCTCTCCGTCAGAGGACAGCGTCCCACCCAGACCCAGCTTTCCTTCTCGTCTGTCTTTTCTCCATCCTTCACCGCTCAGGCTCACCAAGCCCGGCTGAGCTGGCGCGGCACACAAGGCGCCCAATGAGGGGCTGAGTGTGCCATGGCCGTGCCGGCTCCCACACTGCCCCATGCCCTGAGGCCCTTGGGACCCTTCGCTGCTCGCAGAGTGTGCGGTGGGTGAGCCTAGCTCTACTCTGTCAACGTGGCTGCCCCTGCTGAGCTGGAACCCAGGTCTCTCCCGCCTGCGGCCTCTGCCTCCCACACGGCCGCGTGCCCCTGGTCCCCCTGCCCCCCGCTGCAGGCCAGCTCTTCCTGGCTCGGGGTCAGGGCATTCCCCTTCCCGTGCCCTCTCAGGGCGAACGCCCTGAAGGCCGCCCGGTCGCTCATTCCAGCTGCCTGCCCTGCACCTGTCTCAGGCAGCTGTCCCTGGATCCTGACCAAGTACCACAACCGCTGCCTTCCCGGTGTTGACTGTCTCACAGTCCGGAGGCCGGGAGTCTGAGAGCCAGGTGTGGGCGGGTCGGAGCCTTCCGAGGCTGTGAGGAGCCTCTGCCCGGCTTCCGGTGGTTGCCCGCGATCTTTGGGGTATGGATGCGCCCCCTGACCTCTGCCTGCATCACGTGGCCTTCTCCCTGCAGGCGCTGGCTGAGGTGTGTTCTCTGAGGCATTCTCTCCTGGGGCTTGTCCTCTTTCAAATGCCAATTATCTGGGAGGGAAACCAGCAAGTTCTGAGGACTCGAGTGTTAATTAATGTACCACATGTTAATGGAAATAACAGCCTGGCCCGAACCAATTTGGCCCAGCGGCCCGCAGAGGAGTCTGATCCGGCCCGCCAGGTTTTTTGGGCAGTGAGCGCAGCCGAGGTGTTACAGTAGGAATTAGTAGTTCATATAGTCCAGCCCTCCAGCTCTCTGAGGGACCGTGATCTGGCCCCCACTTTAAAAAGTTTGAGGACCCCTGGGCTAGAGCATCGGCCTGAGGACTGGAAGGTCCTGGGTTCCATTCCGGTCAGGGGCATGTACCTTGGTTTCGGACACATCCCCAGTACAGGGTGTGCGGGAGGCAGCTGACCAATGTTTCTCATCAATGTTCTAACTCTCTACTTCTCTCCCTTCCTCTCTGTAAAAAATCAAATGTGTATGTGTGTGTGTGTGTGTGTGTGTGTGTGTGTATATATATATATATATGAATGACAGCCTGGCCGGCGTGGCTCAATGGTTGAGCATCGACCTATGAACCAGGAGGTCAGGGTTCGATTCCCCGTCAGGGCACAGGCCCAGGTTGCGGGCTCGGTCCCCAGTGGGGGGCGTGCAGGAGGCAGCCGATGATTCTCATCATTGATGTTTCCATTCCTCCCTCCCTCTCCCTCTCCCTCTCTGGGATCAGTGAAAGTACGTTTTAAAAGATATCCAGCTGTGCAGTACTCCGTGTCTGGAACGGGGCGGCGGTGTGTGCTGACGTGGGTGTGGGGGCATTGTGGTGCCCGCTGTTGGGAGGCGCGGCTCTGCTGCCCCCGCTGCCACCTCTCGCCGCCTCCTCTCGGCGGGTCTGGCCCCCGAGCTGGTGGGCTTGTCCCTGTGCTCGGAAGAGCAAACCTGAGCTTTTTGCTGGAGGACTGGGCTCCTGCTGTTGCAGAAAGTGGCTCTCCGGCCGCCCTGCAGGCCAAGGTAAAAGCGGGCCTCGCCTCTTCCCCGTTCCCGAGGCCGCCTCATCCTGGGTCAGGCCTGGCCTCCACCTCCAACGCCGGCACAGCCGCTGCAGGTCTCCGTCGGCTTCTGCTCCTGCTCTCGCACCTTCTCGGACTCCCCCCTCCCTGCCTCCCTCTCACAGGGCCCCCGAGATCACATGCCCCCTCCTCCCCCAGAGAACCCAGGTAACCTCCCAGTCTCAAGAGCGGGAACTCCATCACAGCTGCGACGTTCCTTTTGCCATATAAGGTCGCATTCATAGGTTCGGGATTTTGACGTGGACGCCTCTGTGGTGCGGTTATTCTGCAACCACAGGGGGGAGGAGCCCGAGGCTGCATGGCAGCAGACCTTCCTTCTCCCCCCCCCCCCCCCTGCTCTATCAGGGAACTCAGACCAGGAACTCATTGTCCCCCAAATCCGTGTGGGGCTGGAGAACACTCTTGCTCGGGTTCTGTAGCCTTCGCCGTCATCTCTGGCTCTTCCCACGGAGTCCCCACATCGGAAACTGGATTCCATTTTTAAAAGTCGCCCGGGAGAAACTGCCGCCCCGGCTGCAGGGCTTCCCGGCCCGCAAAGCAGGGCTCTCCACCTGAGGAAGGGGTGGGACCGCCCGGGCACTGGGGGCAGAATTCCCCGCTGGGCTGGGCAGGAAGGGCTTACTGGCCACAGGGCACCCCCTGGGGACCGTTCAGATCCTGTCACCGGACCTCCCCGTCCAGCTGCCGCTCATCCCTGTGCTGAGGCCGGACAGGCTGCCACGTGGAGCCTGCGGCCAGGACATTCCAGGGCCCGTGAGGCCCCGCGAATCCGCTCCCCTGGTCCCCAGCCCGGCCCGGCCAGAGACATCCTGGTGCGGGGGCGGCCCCTGGACATGGCACTCACCGCTCCCCTCCATCGTCCGAGCCGGCGGCAGCGAAAGGCCTGCCTCGCCTCGGCAGCTCCCGGGCCGGGCAGCGGGCAGGCCGGCGCGCTCCTGTCTGTCGGCGGCCGCTCCCTCGGGCTGGGCGTGGCCGTTTCCAGGGGCTTTTTGGTCATTGTTTGCTTTCACATCGCTCTGAAGCGTTGTCCTTGGATCGCACCCAAAACAAACAGGCAGAGGCTGGATGCGCCGCCACCAGGCCTGCACGTGTGCCAGTGACCTGGGCTGTTTGCTCCCACAGGAGGCGGGGGGGACGCCCCTCTGAGCCCAGGGGGGGCGACACCCTTCCTCACCCCTCACCCCTCTCCCCTCACCCCTCACCCCTCACCCCTCTCCCCTCTCCCCTCACCCCTCACCTCTCTCCTCTCACCCCTCACCCCTCACCCCTCTCCCCTCTCCCCTCACCCCTCACCTCTCACCCCTCACCTCTCTCCCCTCACCCCTCACCCCTCTCCCCTCACCCCTTACCCCTCACCCCTCACCTCTCACCCCTCACCCCTCACCCCTCTCCCCTCTCCCCTCACCCCCACCTCTCTCCCCTCACCCCTCTCCCCTCTCCTCTCACCTCTCACCCCTCACCCCTCACCCCTCACCCCTCACCCGTCACCTCTCTCCCCTCCTCCCCTCACCCCTCACCCCTCATCCCTCATCTCACCCCTCACCCCTCACCCCTCTCCCCTCACCCCTCACCCCTCACCCCTCACCCCTCACCCCTCACCTCTCACCCCTCACCCCTCACCTCTCACCTCTCCTCTCCCCTCACCCCTCACCCCTCTCCCCTCACCCTTCACCCTCTCCCCTCTCTCCTCACCCCTCACCCCTCACCCCTCACCCTTCTCCCCTCACCCTCACCCCTCACCCCTCACCCTCTCCCCTCACCCCTCACCCCTCACCTCTCACCCTCACCCCTCACCCCTCTCCCCTCACCCCTCTCCCCTCTCCCCTCACCCCTCACCCCTCACCTCTCACCCCTCACCCCTCACCCCTCACCCCTCTCCCCTCTCCCCTCTCCTCTCACCCCAGGGGGAAGCACATGCCGCCTCTGGGAACACAGCGATGGGCCCCTGGTGGCCACATCCAAACCTCGGCGCTACTCAGGCTTCCGACACGGAGGCCAGTTTGGGGGCCGGAGGGGGGCCTGAGGGGGGCGGAGCGCCTGCAGGAGCAGAGCGAGGACGATGGGCCGCACAGAGTCAGCGGAGGAGAGACTGGTGCCAGCACAGGACAGATGCGGGGGCCGCACCCCAGGGAGGCTCCTCCCCTGCACGGCGCTGGCCATGCCGTGTGGCCCGGCTTTCCTCCTGAGATGCCGCTCAGCTCCAGGCCCAGGGAAGCAGCACAGCCAGGCCGGCCGGCGGCTGCCGCAGGCCCAGCTGGTTGGATAATGGGCCTCTGGCACCGACCTGGCATCCGTCAGTGGAGGCCCGGACCCTGAGAGGGCTCCGCTGGAGAGCTGCCCAGGATTCTCTCAGATCCTCCCCTGGGGCCCCCCTAGCTCTCCGCCCTGAAAGCCCTTAGGATGGACCCGGTGCCTCTCCCTCCCTCCCTCCCTCCCTCCGGAGCACCCCCGCCTTTCCCCTTTCCTTCCCCTCCTCCCCCTCCCCCTCCCGTCCCAGCCACCTCACCCTCAGCCTCCTGCTCCCCAGCTCCCAGCCCTTCCTTTGCCTCAGTAACCTGCTTCCCAAGGCCACTTCTAGGAATGACTCCTCTCCCTCCGGATTTGCCAGCCAATGTTCTCTCCCACGGAGCCTTGGCTCTGGATTCTTTCCAGCCAGAACCCAGGTCCCCAGGTTGCTGGGCCCAACTTTGGTCTAAGCCGCATGCCATCCCAAGCACCAAACAGACACGGACCTGGACTGGGCTGCCCACCCCAGCCCACCCCTTCCTACCCCTGCCCACCCCTTCCTACCCCTGCCCACTCCTTCCTACCCCGGCCCACCCCTTCCTACCCCTACCACCCCTGCCCACCCCAGCCCACCCCTTCCTACCCCTGCCCACCCCTTCCTACCCCTGCCCACTCCTTCCTACCCCTGCCCACTCCTTCCTACCCCGGCCCACCCCTTCCTACTCCTGCATCCCAAAATAGGCATCAAAGAAATCGCCTTCCCGGCGGCTCCCTGCTGAGGGTCAAACCCTTCGGCCCTTTTGCAGACACAACTCAGGAATTTGTCAGGATTATACGGCACAGCTCAGGGCGAGGGACTCTAACCGATGCCCACGTGTGCCCTGGGCCTCCGTGGAGCGGAGCGGTGCCGTGGTCTGACGGGGGGCCGTTCCCCAGAGCAGCGTCCCTCGTCCTCGGGCCCGCTGCCGCCGGGGCCTGGCCCAGTCCATGGCCGAGACGAGACGGCATCCTCCCGGAGGCACCGTCAGCCGGCCCTGCAGCCTCTCCCAAGCTCACTGCTTCCCAGCAGAACGGGGAACCTCGTGGTCGCCTGTCAGAGCTCACAGACTCGTTCGCTAGTGAAATAATTTTGCTAAAATCAAATCAAAAAGTGAACCAGGCTTGGAGAGTGCTCCTGAGTGGGGAGAACATTTTTTTTTTAAGTAGATTTTTATTGATTTCAGAGAGGAAGGGAGAGGGAGAGAGAGAGAGAAAAATCCATGATGAGAGTCAGATCAGCTGCCTCTTGCACGCCCCCTACTGGGGATCGATTGAGCCCTCAATCCAGGCATGTGCTCTTGGCTGGAATGGAACCTGGGACCCTTCAGTCTGCAGGCCGACGCTCTATGCATTGAGCCACACTGGCTGGGGCGGGGGAGGAGCTTTTAGGTGCTGGCTGGAGAACAGCTCTTTGTCTCCTTCCCGGATCCAGCCAGCATGCTTCTGCTCAGAGTCCTGGGAAATGCCTGTGGTCCGGCCACCACCACAGCGCCCTGGCAGCCACAGCTTCTGCAGACGTGGCTGAGCCCAGCGCCTGGGGAGGGTGGCCTCTGGGTGCCAGGTGGCCGCTGAGCCTCTGAGAGCCCAGGAAGGGTTGTCTGCTGCTGGCTGCTGGCCCCAGAGGGAGGGCCAGGCAGGGGGAAATGCAGAGCCCCAGAACTGGGTCTTGGCACACCAGCACAAAGACCCACCATTTCTGCCCTGACCGGTGTGGCTCCGTGGGTAGAGTGTCAGCCTGCAGGCTCAAAGGTCCCAGATTCGATTCCAGTCAAGGGCATGTACCTTGGTTTCGGGCACATCTCCAGTACGGGGCGTGCAGGAGGCAGGTGATCGATGTTTCTCTCTCATTGATGTTTCTGACTCTCCCTCTCCCTTCCTCTCTGTAAAAAATCAATAAAATACATTTTAAAAAGAAAAAGGAACATTGTGTTAACAAAACAAAACAAAAAAACACAGGAGACCCTACCATTTCAGGCTGGGCTCCAGTTGTCTGGGACGAGTGTCTGCCATTGCTCGCCTCAGTCTGAGACCTCTGAGCACTGAGCGCGGAAGACGGTGACTGTGGATCGTGATGAGGCGGGGTCAGACCTGGCACCTCCAACTCCTGGCAGGCTCCTGGGTTCGCAGGGGGGAGGCGCTGGGAGTCTGTTCCCCCAATTTGCAGTCCTTAGCGGTGCCCGAGGGGAGCCGCGCTGGCTGGGGAGGGCTGGGTGGCAGCCAGAAGCCACAGGGAACCCCAGGACGCCCGGCCACTGGAGGTCTCAGGCGCCTCGGAAACCCTGGGGGCCCGGGGGGGAACAGCAGGAGCCTAATTCTAATTCCAAACCGAGTCTGCATGTTGTGAGTACCCAGCAGACTAGCACCGTGGTCAGCAAGCCGCGGCTCGCGAGCCACATGCGGCTCTTTGGCCCCTTGAGTTTTTAGCAAAGGCCAGCTTAGGAGTGCCCTAATGAACTTAATAACAATGTTCCTTCCTATATAGTTTAAGTTTAAAAAGTGTGGCTCTCAAAAGAAATTTCAGTCGTTGTCCTGTTGATATTTGGCTCTGTTGACTGATGAGTTTGCCGGCCACTGGTCTAGCAGGTCAGTCGTGAAGAACTGGTCCCAAGAGGCATGGGAAACAGCCGGGATTACCCACCAGCCGTGGAGAAAAACATCTTTTAAAAACAGAGACTCGCCGGGCCAGTGTGCTCAGTGGTTGAGGGTCAACCTAAGAAGCAGGAGATCACGGTTCGATTCCCGGTCAGGGTACAGGCCTGGGTAGGGGGTATGCTTCCCAGGAGAGGATGTGCAGGAGGCAGCCGACCCATGATTCTCACTCATCATTGACGTTTCTCTCTCTCTCCCTCTGCCTTCCTCTCTGAGATCAATACAAATACATTTAAAACAACAACAATAAACAGAGGCTCAAGGCTCCTCAGAAAGTTAAACGTTAACCGAAACCAGTGTGGCTCAGTGGATAGAGCGTCGGCCTGCAGACTGAAGGGTCCCAGGTTCGATTCAGGTCAAGGGCATGTACCTTGGTTGTGGGCGTGTTCCCAGTAGGAGGTGTGCAGGAGGCAGCTGGTCGATGTTTCTAACTCTCTATCCGTCTCTCTTCCTCTCTGTGGAAAAAAAAAAAAAAAAAGTAATGGCCATGTGCCCAGGAATTCCACTCCTAGAAATACCCCGGAGAAAGGGAAGCACGTGCACCCCAAACGGTGTTCATCGCAGCTCTGTTCCCATCACGGCCACGTGTCTCCGCCAGGAATCACACGTGACCTCCTGCTCAACCCCTGAGCCACACCCGTTGGGCTAGAAATGGGAATTTTTAAAAATCGGGTCTTTTTTGTTTATCTGTGAAGACTCCACCCAATGGCTCAGACATAGCTAGTGCTAAGAGGGTTCTAAGTGGGCTTGTTCCCGTCGGTTCAGTCAGAGACAAAGGGCAGCAGGAGCTTACTGGCCGCAGCAGGCATTCGGGAGGGAGGCCGGGAGGGTCAGTAGAAGGAACAGCGGAGAGCCGGGCAGGCTGCTCTGGCTCACGGGGAGGTCAGAGGGAAGGGGGCTGAGGGGACAGGGGCAGGGTGAGCTGGGACACGCTGCTGCTGCCCGGTGCTCCCCTGGCTGCAGTCTCTGGGAACCCCCTGAGCTTAGGAGATGGTGCCCGTGGGGGAGGGGGTGACAGGCGTGCTGGGGCGGGGGTTCCAGCTGGGGCCTTTTGGTTGAGGGTGTTTCTTTCTCAGGCAGTGGAAATCTCAGGGGAGGTGTGTGGGTGTGGGGGGGAGTTCCCCACGGAATAGCCACCAGCTTTCCAGGCTTGTGCTCTCCCCTGACTGGCCGGCGCCAGGGCAGGTGGTCATTAGTCGCTGCAGCTGGCCTGAGGCGGCCAAGGGGTCCCTGGTCCGGTTTTGCTGCTTTTCTGGGCCTTCAGGGAGGAATGGCTCAGCGCCTCTTTCTTCCCCCTGTGACCAGGACATGCTGGGGCGGAATCCTCCTTTTCCCAGGTTTGCCTCCTGCCGGACACCTGGGGCTTTCCGCCCGGGTGACCTCTATCTGCCCGTCTTCCTCACTCTGCTCCTGTCTGTCTAGCTGCCTATTACGGGTTTGGCCCTGGGGTGTTCCTAAGGGAAATCGGGGGGGGGGGGGGGGGGGGGGGAGGAAGGGGGAGGAGGAAACAGGCCGTAGCCACAGGATGAGCTAATCTAGTGCCAGCTCATTCAGCCCTGAGGCTCCCAGATAGGGAAGCACATGCAACCCCCTGGATGTGTCCACCCTGCTGGAGGCTGGGGGGCCCCCGCCCCCGAGACTGTGATGGAGCTGGTCCGGAGTGTGGCTGGGGCTTCAGGATTCCCCCAGGCCCCCAGCGATTTTATTTTATTTTATTTTAAAACATTTTATTGATTTTTTTACAGAGAGGAAGGGAGAGGAGATCGAGTCAGAAATACTGATGAGAGAGAAATATCGACCAGCTGCCTCCCGCACACTCCCTAACTGGGGATGTGCACGCAACCAAGGTACATGCCCTTGACTGGAATCGAACCTGGGACCCTTCAGTCCGCAGGCCGACGCTCTATCCACTGAGCCAAATGATTAGGGCTCCCCAGCGATTTCAATGTGTGGACACACCTGGGAACCACTGACGGCATAAGAGGAGGCTCTGAGGCCGTTTCCCAGGCCAGCCGGGAGGACTCCGGTGTCTGCAAGCGCCACCGAAACGCCCTCCGGGATGGTGTCCTACGTGGTCGTGGGCACAAGGACCAGCTCCCGTCCGGAAAGGAGCGGCTCGTCAGAGAGGAGGCAGACTGTCCCAGGCCTTCCCACACCCTCCCAGGCGCCCGGTGGGGACGCGGGCATGCATGGTGACAGAGCGGGCTGCCAGCCGGTCCCGGACGAGGGGGCGTCTCTCCAGGTACCCCAGGTGCTCCTGCTCGGGGGTGTCAAGGCGGGCCCCTCAGGACTTCCGAAGGCAAGGAAGCCCTCCTCGCCGAGGAGCGGTAATGCGGTTTCGGAACGTTTCCATCTCCTCTCACCTATAGCTCATCCTCTTCGAACTTCTTGGCATGTATTCACTCGCTCCTCACAAAACCCTCCAGCTAGCAATTACTTTTTAAAAAGTGTATTTTATTGATTTTTTACAGAGAGGAAGGGAGAGGGATAGAGAGCTAGAAACATCGATGGGAGAGAAACATCGACCAGCTGCCTCCTGCACGCCCCCCACTGGGGATGTGCCCGCAACCAAGGTACATGCCCCTGACTGGAATCGAACCTGGGACCTTTCAGTCCGCAGACCAACGCTCTATCCACTGAGCCACACCAGTGAGGGCTAGCTAGAAGAGCCAGCAGTTGTTATTGCCCTCGCCCTCCGGGGGAGAGAACGGTAGGGAAGGCTGTTGGTTGCCAAGGTCACACACACAGCTGATAAGCTTTGGCCCGGAGACGCTCACATCCACGCACCTGCCGCGCTGGGCGCGTCCCTGATGCGTCGGTGCTGCCGTTTCTGGGCGGACGCAGCTGTTGTCGGCCCCCTGAGCGTGTGAGGACTTTCGCCTTACAGAGCCTGGAGCCCCGGAACCTGACCAATTTGCCACCCTGGAGCCAGGAAGCTTGCAGCCTCCTCCATCATTTGGTCCATGATTTCTTACAACCCGTGTCCTTTCTGTCCGCCCCTCCCTTCCCAGCCCCTCCGGCCCGCTTGCTCCCTCCACCTCTTTCCACTCGGCCCGTCTTGCAAGAGCTGCTGCCTGCCTGCTGAGGAGGCAACCATCTCCTCTTTGGCTGGCAATGCTGCAGAAGCTCTAGAAGGCACTAGGTGGCTTCTCCTTGAGCCAAAGCCTTCAAAACGTACGAGTGCTTGTGATCAGAGTTACTGAAAGCCCAGAGATCGGTGCGGTTCTTCTTCTTCTTTTAGAGTTTAATATATTTTATTGATTTTTTACAGAGAGGAAGGGAGAGGGATAGAGAATTAGAAATATCAGCTGCCTCCTGCACACTCCCTACTGGGGATGCGCCTGCAACCAAGGCACATGCCCTTGACCGGAATCGAACCTGGGACCCTTGAGTCCGCAGACCGACGCTCTATCCACTGAGCCACACCGGTTACGGCATCGGTGCGGTTCTGTCCTACGGAGGACTGTACAGTGAGACTCCGTTCCAGATTTTTCCAGCGGCTGCTGGCCACCGCAGCAGATGCTGTCTACCACTGTCCTTGCTCACGCTGGCAGGGGTCACTCCCAGCGCGCTTGGCTCCGCCTGCCCCGTGTTTTGCTCTCACCCCAGCGTGGTTCCCGGTGTCCCATGGAGAGAATCCGCTTGGAGATCCAAGTTGGTATTATTTTTAGAAATAAAGACATCCCGTCTCAGCTTGAGGAGGCCTGTTCAGAGGAGGAAAACAGAGAAAGGCCCCATGTTCTCCCCAAGTTCAAGCGGTGCAATGTGGAGGCAGAACTCCTGACGCATCGCCTGGAGTGTTCTTTGTTGCAAAGTCCGACCTTGCCTTCCGCGTCGCTCAGCTCTGGGAACGGGCTGAGCGGCCCCGGACGGACACAGGCCCCTTTGTCTGGCCCCGTCCCCGCCCGGGCCATCCCCCACGCCTGGCCTGACCCTCTGCCCCCCTCGTCTCCTTGAAAACCGTGCCGATCAGATGTCCACAATTCCTGCTGAACCTGCAGCCCGTCCACAACAGGGGCCTTTTGTGCAAACGAATTGGGAGGAATGTGGGAAATGTCGCCGTGTGCTGGGCAGAGCTGTTTTCTTTTCTTTCCTTTTTTTTTAAATTGATTTTTTGCAGAGAGGAAGAGAGATAGAAAGTTAGAAACATTCATGAGAGAGAAACATGGACCAGCTGCCTCCTGCCCACTCCCTACTGGGGGTGTGCCCGCAACCAAGGTCCATGCCCTTGATCAGGATCGAACGCGGGACTCTTCAGTCTGCAGACCAACGCTCTATCCACTGAGCCAAACTGGTTTTGGCTGGGCAGAGCTGTTTTTGTCTTTGTAGGAAATGCTCAGCAGGCCTGGAGTCTCAAGGGCCAGCCTGGTGTATAGAGAAACATTTAAAACAAACAAACAAATAAACAAACGACACTGGTCAGGTGAAGTCTCCCTTCACACTCAAAAAGGACAGCCTGCAAATGAGAAAGGCCGTTTCTCCTCACTCCAGACCCTGTCCGAGGCAGGGCTCTCCAGAGAAACAGAACCAACGTGATGCAGACACGGCAAATGTTGGAGAACAAAGGGGGAAAAAAAGACACTCGACAATCACAAGCAGGTTAAAAACAACCGAGATATGCCTCTGGCTGGAGTGGCTCCCTCAGGCTCAGTTGCTGGTTTGATTCCCGGTCAGGGCACACACTTGGAAATAATTTTTTACAGAGAGAGAGAGAGAGAGAGAGAGAGAGAGAGAGAGAGAGAGGGAGAGAGAGAGAGAGGGGCGCTCATCTATGCGCTGCCTCCTGCACGCCCCCTACTGGGGATGAGACAGCAGCCCAGCCATGTACCCTGTCGGGAATCAAGCTGTGACCTCCTGGGTCACAACAACGATGAGACCCAGGAGAAACAGCAATGATGAGAGAGAATCATTGACTGGCTGCCTGCTGCACAGCCCCTACCAGGGATCAAGCCGGTAACTTGGGCATATGCCCTGACCGGGAATCGAACTGTTTTCTCCTGGTCAAACTGTTTTCATAGGTTGATGTTCAACCATTAAGCTACACCAGCTGGGCTAAATCCATACTAATAAAGTCTTGGGAGTGATCAGGCCAGCAGGGGAGGGCAGTTGGGAGTGATCAGACCAGCAGGGGAGTGGTTAGGGGGTGATCAGGCTGGCAGGCAGTAGAGTGGTCCCAGATTGTCAGAGGGATGTCCGACTGCCAGTTTAGCAGGTTCGGGCCTAAACCAGCAGTCAAACATCCCCGAAGGGTCCAAGATTGGAGAGAGTGCAGGCTGGGCTGAGGGACACCCTGCCCCCCCACCCGCATGAATTTTGTGGACAGGGCCACTAGTGTGTGTGTGTGTGTGTGTGTGTGTGTGTTAAAATACAAACAAGTATATATTGTGTGGCTGGCCACCTGGTGGTGGGGAGCGGGAAAGGGCTTACTGTGATTGAGGGGATTTAGAAAAACTTCGTGGAGCAGATGCTTCATGAGTTGGTCTTTGAGGGAGGAAGACATTAAAAGCAAAGCAAAAACAAACAAAAAAACAAAGCAAAGGCTGTCAGGAGCGCCTTGGCCTCGTTCAGGAAACCTTGCCTTACAAGGTTGGATCCCCAGGAATGAAGATCAGACCCCACCTTTGGGGGGGACGTCCACCTCTGCGCGGTCCCAGCTGGGCGCATGCGCCTGGCGGGGCTAGCGCGGTGACCATAGAGACGCAGAGCTAGATCGTCGGCCTCCTCGGAGGCAGACATTTTGGATCCTGGCAGAAAAGTTGCAGTGGGCTGGGACCACTACCAAGTCAGGCTGCACAGCCCAAGAACGTGACTGGAAAAGACCTCCTGTGGGACGGCAGAGTCTGTCGGCGGAGCGAATTCGTGATGCTCGTGTAGGGAGGACAGGCTGTTAGAGGTGTCCACCGACTTGCCCTCATCCGAGATGGCGGCTGTGCGGACGCTCTAGCCGGCGCCTCTCGGTCTCCCGGATGCCCGGAGGGGGCGGCGGCCTTCCCTCTGGGTCCCGGGAGGCTGCGGCGGCGGCGTCGGTCACAGCGAACGCGGCTGCCGCCGGAGCTCGTGTGGGCTTGGTACGAGGAGCGTGAGGGTCTCCGCCTCCCCCCTGCCGTGCCGGGCTGCTCGGCGCCTCCCCCAGCCGGGCCCCGGGCGTCGCGGCCGCCGCCGTCGGAAGCCCTCCCGGCGGGCCCCGCGCCGCGGGCCGGACGATGCCCAAGAAGCTGCTGCTGCTGCCGCCGCTGTCCGTGTCCTCGGCCTTCCGCGCCCCGCGGGTCAGCGCCGCCGCCCGCCTGGCCATGAACGCCGCCCGCACCGGCTACCGGGTCTTCTCGGCCAACTCCACGGCCGCGTGCACCGAGCTGGCCAAGCGCATCACCGAGTAAGGGCGGCGGGCGGCGGGCGGCGGGCGGCGGCGGGGCCCCGGAAGCCCTCCTGCTGCCCTTCCCCGGGCGGCCAGGCTGGCCGGCCCCTTCGCCCGGAGCTGCGGGAGGGGACAGGTAGCCGAACCCTCCCTGCCCTTTGGCGGCTGCACAGACCCTTGGAGGTGCCCGGAGGCGTCCCTTCCCCGCCCGTACCCCCCCCCCCCCCAATTCTGCGGACTTTTGATGACTTAACACACCCCACCCCGTTGCTCGGACCGCTCTTCCTCCTTCCGTCACCCCGGGCGGTGGTGAGGGTTCCGCCGCCGCCGGAGGGAGGCGTTGGAGGGGGGCCCGGGGCCGGTCCCCGGGCTGGAGTTGACCCAGGAACCTCTCACCGCCGTCCCCAGCGTCCTCCGTGGGCCCGGGGCCGGGAAGTCTTACACCCCGAGCACCGGCGGCCGGGCCCCAGGAGGGCGGCTGGCGGGAGGGTTCCCCGGGCGCCCGGTGCCCCCGCGGAAACCGGGGTGTAGAGAGGGCGGGCCCTGAGGACGGGCAGGTCCAGGCGAGCGGATTTGGGGGGTTTGGGGTGGAAACAGGGGTCTCCCCGCGGTTTGCACGGCAGCTGTAGGCTGGGTCTTGGAAGCCACGGACACGGGGGTCCCCAGCGCCCCGAGGGGCCGCCCCAGGCCGCCGCCTGACACGGGCGCTGACGGGCCGGAGACTCCGTTTTCCCGAACGTCCTTCGTAAACGGGGGTGATCCTGCCTGCGGGCAGGAAGGCCGTGAGCTGAGCCACCTGTTGTGTATACACCAGCCTGCGAGCGGGGCTCAGGTTGGCCCCTGAACACCCGCTTTCTGGTGGGATCTGGTGTCCTGGAGCCGCACTGTGAGGGAAGGGCTTTCTGAGCCCCCAGGTGAACCTGCGGATAGAAAGAGTGGCTGGTCTGCTGCCATTTAAAGTCATTTTCAGCTTTTAGTTTACCTTCACGCGCCCCTGGCGTTTTCCCGGTGGGACTCAGGCAGGGTTACATTTTTAAATTCCCGACGGAAGCACAGGACACTTCCTTTCTGTCCGGCGGAAGGTTAGGTGAAAGAAGGTAAGAACAACCCTTTTGCAATCCACAAACCCTCCGACTGTTTGTCTTTTTGAGGCCAGCCAAAATGCTAACTCTATATAGGAAGTGTGTGTGTGTGTGTGTGTGTGGCCAGGCTCAGCCCATGGACCTTGCTGAGAGAATACAAAGCTGGAGGGCACTCTTTGTAATTATTATTCATCGTCACTTGAGGATAGGTTTCAGTTGATTTTGTGCTTAAAAAATGTTTTCAGCCGAAACTGGTGTGGCTCAGTGGATAGAGCGTCGGCCTGCGGACTGAAAGGTCCCAGGTTCGATTCTGGTCAAGGGCATGTATCTTGGTTGTGGGCACATCTCCATTGCGGGGTGTGCAAGAGGCAGCTGATCGATGATTTTCATCGATGTTTCTAACTCTCTATCCCTCTCTCTTCCTCTCTGTAAAAAATCAATAAAATATATTTTAAAAAATGTTTTTATTGATTTCCGAGAGAGGAAGGGAGAGGGAGCGATAGAAACATCAATGAAGGAGGGAGTCGTCAATCCGCTGCCTCCTGCACATGCCCCGCTGGGGCCGTTTGGAGTAAGGGGGGTGCTCCAGCATCTGAGCCTCGGGCCAGGGCTGGGGGCACATTTAAAATGTCACTGGTTGTTTTTTTTTCATATTAGGTTCTTCCCTGCCTTGGTCCAAAAAGGTTTTAAGTTACTATGAACAATAAATATTTATAATTTTTTTATCTGTTTCATATGTTGAGTTTCCCAGTAAGATTTTATTTGAGCAAAGCGTTTTACTACTGAGCAAATTTGCTGATCATTAAATTGGATTGACCTCTGAGGTTATATTTTATTTCCAGGATTCCTTTCAGATCTAAATGTCACTCGGGGATCTGAAAGCTTTTTTGATGATGACGCTTATTAATCAGACAGGTGCACTACCTCCCAGGATTTGTTCGGATTACGCCTGTGTTGTAATGAACCCCTACCCTTTGTCCAGCTCCCACACTGGTTAATCTTGTTTCATCTGCTCCACCTGTCCCTCGCCTTTTTTGACTAGAGTACTTAATGGTGAAGTAACACATATCCAAATTTACCGACTTAGCCATTTTATTTAAATACTTTTAAAATAGATTTTTACTGATTTCAGAGAGGAAAGGAGGGGGAGAGAGAGGGAGAAACATCAATGATGGAGGAATATCATTGCTCAGCTGCCTCCTGCATGCCTCCCACTGGAGACAGCCCGCAACCCAAGCATGTGCCCTTGCCCAGAACTGAACCCGGCACCTTCCAGTCCACAGTCCAACGCCCTTGTTTCCCTGATTGTCCCAAAAAGGGCTTTTCCCACTCGATTTGTTCTCATCCATCCATACGGTTCGCTCTGCCTTTGGTTCATGGCCCCAGTCTGTGTGCTGGGACGTGGGGGCGCTGACCTCGGGCGTGTGGTTCGGGAGCGGCTGCCAGTGAGCGCCAAGCCCTGCTTTGGGGTGATTTTCCAGGATGGTTCCTGGCCATAAGGCTGTGCGCTGGCCCAGCAGCCTCGGCTGCGGGCTGGCCAGCGGAGACTGCGGAGCGGCCTGCTGAGTGGCCTGCGGACTCCCACGCACTTGTGTTCTTCCCGAATTAAACTTTCTCCTGCTCTTTGGCAGAGAATGGCGAGAGCTGATTTAGTCTCTGTTACGCGTGCCTGCGAGCTGGAGGGTTTGGGTGGAGCACTCTAACTGCCTTTTCTTTCCCGCAGGCGTCTGGGCGCTGAGCTGGGGAAGTCCGTGGTGTACCAGGAGACCAATGGAGGTAAAGCTGCGCCCACTCCCGCTGAGTGCGGTCCTGGCTGGCGATATCACTCATGTCTAACGCGGAAACATTCCTCCTAACAAATCCGGACTCCTGTGCTCTCCTGAAAGTCTCCTTCCTCTTGTCCAACATAATGCCAACACCCTGTCATTTGGGCTGGAAAGGAGAGCGGTAGAGGTTTCTGTGTTGGCGGTGCTGGCAGACGCTCCCTGCCTTCACCTGTCCGCTGGCCAGCAGTAGCATCAGGAGCAACCTGGGCATCGGCCTGTGGACCTGAAGGGTCCCGGGTTCGATTCCGGTCGAGGGCACGCACCTCGGTTGCAGGCTCCTCCCCGGCCTGGGCCCCGGTCAGGGCTCGTGCAGGAGGCAACCAAATGACGTATTTCTTTCACATCAGTGTTTTCCTCTGTCCCTCTCTCTTCCACTCTCTCTTAAAAAATCATTGGAAAAATATCCTTGGGTGAGAATTAAAAAAAGAGCAATCTGGTCTTGGTGATGGTGACGTGAAAAAGGCTTTCTGTTCTTTTCACCTCCAAGCTTCCTCCCCTGCCCTCTGGGGCAGTGATCATGTCGCGGTCACTTAGCCGATGGCCGGTGGCCTAGGAATGCTGCCTCGTAAAATCTCCTGGCGGGCATGCACTTGCGGTTATAGTGCCCTTAGTCCTCGCAAAGACAAGTCAGTATCCAGTGATTTCGAATTCTTTTTTTTAAAGTTGAAAGCCTGGATTTGTGATCCCATGCTTCCTTTCTCTTTCTGAGCTCTAATTATCTGTGGTCTGAGTAGTGCTTTTCTTAAAGCTACAGGGCATTTTTATTTTTCAGAAACAAGAGTCGAAATAAAAGAATCTGTTCGAGGCCAAGACGTTTTCATCATACAGACGATCCCCAGGTGAGAGTTGGCACTGCTTTGGCACAGCGCGTTAGCGTTCCCTGTGAACAAGTTTCGTGTTCTGGAAGTCATGAATGTGTTTGCATGTAAACAGTTTTCTGAGCCATTCTAGCAAATTCATAGCCTGAGGAGAGGGTCGTGGGAACCTCCGATTCTCAGCAGGTGGGCACGGGGGGCAGTCTTGTTGGTCTGGGCCCCTAGCCTGTGGGGTCTGACGCTGTCCTCCTAGAGAGTGTCGTAAATGAGGAGACTTTCAGACGCCCCGCTGTTGTCGGCTGGCAAATGCCTGTGACACCCGTCGGGCAGCTCACGTTAAATCGCCAGGGGTGCATCCATGACGCCAATCTTCGAACACAAACTTGCACCGTTTCAGAGACGTGAACACCGCTGTGATGGAGCTGCTGATCATGGCCTACGCGCTGAAGACCGCCTGCGCCAGGAACATCATTGGCGTCATCCCTTACTTCCCCTACAGCAAGCAGAGCAAGATGCGGAAGAGGGGCTCCATCGTGTGCAAGCTGCTGGCGTCCATGCTGGCCAGAGCGGGTGAGTGAGGGGCACAGATGGAGGGGGACTCGCTCCTCCAGCTGCCTCCCTCAGTGCTCCTGTCTCTGCACAGAGCTGTGAGGGGGAGTGAGCTCAAGTAGGGTTCCTGCCTTTTCTCTCCTCTCTGTCTGTCTTAGAGTGGCATCGTCTGCTTCCATGTTTTCTGCTCTTCTCCAGTCTTGGCCTTTGTCATCATTCCATCGTCTTCCTTCACGTTTCATCTTATCTTCACATTTTATCTTTATATTCTTATTTTTAAAATATATTTTATTGAGTTTTTACAGAGAGGAAGAGAGAGGGATAGAGAGTTAGAAACATCGACCAGCTGCCTCCTGCACACCTCCTACTAGGGATGTGCCCGCAGCCAAGGTACATGCCCTTGACCGGAATCTAACCTGAGACCTTTCAGTCCGCAGGCCGATGCTCTATCCATTGAGCCACACCGGTCAGGGCTCTTCATCACATTTTAACTGGTACTGTGGGCACTCCTGGCCTTCCGAGGTTCAGGCTGGAGTTCTGTGCTTGCCTTCTTGCTGAGCTTTATTTATGTACATAATGTCATGCTGGAGTTTCCTTTGGCTCTTCCTCCTGCTGATACACTCCCCAGTCCCGTCCTGAGTGTGTGTGCAGCAGCTCTTTTCTCTGCTTTTATTCTAATGTGTGTTTGTAGCAGTAACTAGCCGGCCTGGGAATCACATGTAAAGGCACTTTACAATGATTGGAATTTCATTTGCCTGATGTTTAGGTAAAACTCTCACAGAGAAAAAAACAAACAGATTTGAGTCCTCAGGAACATACATTCCTTTTTGTTTAGCCCTGTCGATATTTCAGTCTGTCTTCTTGTTTTTCTATAAGAATATTTCATGCTGCTCTAACCAGTTTGGCTCAGTGGATAGAGCATCGGCCTGCAGACTGAGAGGTCCCGGGTTTGATTCTGGGCAAGGGCATGTACCTTGGTTGCAGTGGAAGGTGTGTAGGAGGCGGCTGATCGATGTTTCTCTCTCATCAATGTTTCTGGCTCTCAATCCCTCTCCTTTCCTCTCTGGAAAAATCACAGTATTTCTTTTAAAAAAGAATATTTCATGGCCCGTTCTTTTATTTCTGATAGAAATTGTTTTAAACCTTTCAGTTTCTATCTTTTTTAAAATATGATTTTTCTTTTTTAAAATATGTACATTACTTTGTTTTTGCTTTCTTATTCTTCTGCCTCAGCCACAGACTTTTTATATTTCTTCCTAAATTATTTAATCAACATATTGACTATTTTTACATCAATTTTTGCTTCAGTATTAATTCCATCTTCATATTTTTGCTTCTACCTGAGTTTTCTTTTCTTGATTTTGAGGGCCAAGCGAATAGTAACAGCAGAGGAGGGCACGTCTCTCAGCTTCGGGCCTGTCTTTGTGGAAGGTCAGAGATGCCTTCACTGGAGGCTGCACACGTTTTTTAGAAAGCGAGGAAGGGAGAGGGAGAGAGAGAGAGAAACATCAGTGATGAGAGAATCATTGATTGGCTGCCTCCTGCACGCCCTCTACTGGAGATTGTGCAACCCAGGCCTGCGCCCTGACCAGGAACCGAGCTGGGGACCTCTTAGTGCCCAGGTCAGTGCTCAGCCACGGAGCCACGCTGGCCAGGCCGGCACATTCTTTAGTTCTTTAGGTCTTGTTAAGGTTGCAGGTAAAGCCTGTGACTCACGTGCTTGTTAACAGTGCCCCGGCCTCTCGATAGGACACAGGAGCTGGGCGTCACTGACTTGCAGGGGTGAACTGGTAATTCTGTTTTAAAATTTCAGGTCTAACTCACATTATCACTATGGATCTTCACCAGAAGGAAATCCAAGGCTTTTTCAGCTTTCCCGTGGACAACCTGAGAGCTTCACCTTTCCTGCTTCAGTACATCCAGGAAGAAGTGAGCAGCCGCCCGCACCCTGTCCTCCATGTTGCTCTCTGGTGCCCGATTCCCACGTGGAAGGCACATCCGTGACCTTTCCCTTAGTCTGACCCTGAGGCAGCCAGATGGGGCCAGCCCTCAGGCCTGGAGGGTTCCAGAGCTCAGAGACGTAAATACGGATTTCCTTCTAAGTATCTTCAGCAGTTGGCTTATGTTTTCTTAAATGAAGGTTTTAAGAATTAATTACTTTTTCTTTTCGTGATGTAGCAGTACTTTTGCTAATTGATAAGTGTTAAAATTCTAAAATGTGTAAATGAAAGTCTAGCTGACAGGCGTCTTCAAACTACGGCCCGCGGGCCACATGCGGCCCGCAGAGGAGTCTGATCCGGCCCGCCAGGTTTTTTGGGCAGTGAGCGCAGCCGAGGTGTTACAGTAGGAATTAGTAGTTCATATAGTCTGGCCCTCCAGCTCTCTGAGGGACCGTGATCTGGCCCCCACCTTAAAAAGTTTGAGGACCCCTGCGTAAGTGTTAAAATTCTAAAATGTGTAAATGAAAGTAGCATATATGATTGCTAGTATGGATTGTTGTTTTAAGAGGAAAGAATGTAATACCAGCATCCAAGCATAACTTTTCAGTATTTTCTTATTTCTCCTCCAAATCTAGATTCCAAATTACAGAAATGCAGTCATTGTAGCTAAGTCTCCTGATGCTGCGAAAAGGTAACTGCTTCAGATACTCCCGCAGGCGCTGGCGGTGCTCTCTGAGGTTGGAGGGAGCTCTCTGGTGTCTAGGGGCTGTCTGGCGGCTGAGAAAGCTCACCGGCCTGGACTCTCCCCTCATCACTGACACTGAAGTGCTTCCTTCACAGTCTCAGGAAAGGAAGGCAGAGGACTATGAGCACTTTCCAGGCTGTGATTTATTGTTGGTTTTTAAATATATTTTATTTATTTCAGAGAGGAAGGGGGAGGGATAGTTAAAAACATCGATGAGAGAGAAACATTGATCAGCTGCCTCCTGCATACCCCCTACTGGGGATGTGCCTTCAACCAAGGTACATGTCCTTGACTGGAATCGAACCTGGGAACCTTCAGTCCTCAGGCCGACGCTCTGTCCACTGAGCCAAACTGGTCAGGGCTTAAATAAGTTTTTGATTTCAGAGAAGAAGGGAGAAGGAGAAGGAGATAGAAACATCAATAATGAGAATCATTGATCAGCTGCCTCCTGCATGCCCCACACTGGGGATCGAACCATGACCTCCTAGGTCGTAGGTCGACACTTAACCACTGAGCCACGCCGGCGGCTCAGCAATGATTTTTAAGAGACCTTTTTCAACAAAGTTTTTTCTTCGGAAGTAGAGTTAGATTATTGGGCAAAGGCTAGAGCCAGAATGATGTAGAACCAGACACTCGCCCACATCTCGGCTCTCATGCCCCTGGAGGTTTTTATTCTGGCTGGGCTCCACGTTCTGTTTTGTATAAGTAATTCCCTGTGAGTCCTAAGAGGTGGGTGATACTTCCAGTTTGTGATTACTAAGATGAGGGAATCGTGATGGTGGGTTTTCTCCAGACACTCACCGCCTGCCTTGTCCTCTCAGGGCCCAGTCCTACGCAGAGAGGCTGCGGCTGGGCTTGGCCGTCATCCACGGGGAGGCGCAGTGCACCGAGCTGGACATGGACGACGGCCGCCACTCGCCCCCCATGGTCAAGAACGCCACGGTGCACCCCGGCCTGGAGCTGCCGTGTGAGTCGCTCTCTTCCTCACTGTGTTTGGAAATGAATAACGTCTCCGCTGACGTGAATAGCTAGAAATAATATTTAAGTGGACCTGCCGTCTGGGTATTTTTATGCTATTTATTTATTTATTTATTTATAATATATTTTATTGATATTTTACAGAGAGGAGGAAGGGAGAGAGATAGAGAGCTAGAAATGTCGATGAGAGAGAAACATCGACCAGCTGCCTCTTGCACACCCCCTACTGGAGATGTGCGCGCAACCAATGTACATGCCTTTGACCGGAATCGAACCTGGGACCTTTCAGTCCGCAGACCGATGCTCTACCACTGAGCCAAACTGGTTTCAGCTCCGTCTGGGTATTTTTAAATGATTGAACGATGTGGCATTTTTTTCTCCGCTTATAAACCCGGAAGCGTGGGGGACTCGTAGTTATTGTTCTCCAGTTCCTTACCGCCAGGAAGCTGGTTATTCCGCTCGTGGGGAGAAGGTCACGCTGTCCAGTAACAGTCATCTGGACAAAAACGAACACCAGCTTTTGGCCTGGCAGCCTTTCCCTGGCGGTTGCCTGCGGATGGCATTCTCCTTACATTTTTCCACCGTCTCAGCGGCGGGCCTTTCCCTGGTGCATGGTGGGCGGTGTGGCTCTCCTCGCCCTGCTATTCCGTCCTCACGCCTGTGCAGCAGGACCGGCCTCCGCTGCAAAGTGCTGTGTGCAGTACGCACACCGACTCCAAAGACTGAGTCCGAAAACATGTCAAACAGCTCCAGTAAATGTGCATATTGATTACTTAGTGAAATATTTTGGCTATATTGTAAAATAAATCTATTCTTTTCACCTATGTGATTTTACTTTTTAATGTGGCTACTAAAAAATGTGTACAAGAGGCAGAGGGAGAGGAAAAGAGAGAGAAACATCAGTGATGAGAGAGAATCATTGATGGGCTGTCTCCTGCATGCCCCTCACAGGGGAGTGAGCCTGCAACCTGGGCATGTGCCCTTTGAGTGAGAATTAACCATGACCTAGATCATAGGTTGATGCTAAACCACGGAGCCACGCCAGTGGGGCTCACCATCCGTTTCTACCGGACAACGTGCTCTAGACAGGCTGTTTCTGAGGGACCCCGGCTCCTTGCAGAGGAATCTGCTGCTTTCTTTCTTTTGTTGTTGTTTTTTGTCTACAGTGGCTTTGCCCCACTTCCAGAGGGTGAAGTTGTGTGAGCAGTTGCTTAGCGATGCTTGACTAACGGGTCTTGTCATTGTGTCGTTTTGCAGTGATGATGGCCAAAGAGAAGCCGCCGATCACCGTGGTCGGGGACGTTGGCGGGAGCATCGCCATCATCGTGGTAAGGCCGGCGTCTTTCCGTGCAGAGGGCACCCGGGCTCATAGCTGTTTCACGTCGGGCTGTATGTCCAGTAATGATGACAACTTAAATGGCTCCGACTTCCCGTTCTCACCCAAACCCCATAAGGAGAGGTTTTTATGTGGGCGAACAGGGTTGTTATAACCGACAGCTGAAAGGAGAGCTTGTATAAGTTCTCCTATAAGTTCACCCCCACAAGTGACCTTGGTCTTAAGGGCTGTAGTTCCCATCAAAGCAGCTGACATCCTCAATCTTAAGCTTTAGGGTGGAGAGGAGAACTGAGGAGGAGCCGTTCCATTTAAAAATATATTTGTATTGATTTCAGAGAGGAAGGGAGAGGGAGAGAGAGAAATACCAGTGATGAGAATCATGACTGGCTGCCCCCTGCACACCCCACACTAGGGATGGAGCCTGCGACATGGGTACATGCCCTGACTGGGAATTGAATTGTGACCTCCTGGTTCACACATAGGTTGATGTTCAACCACGGAGCCATGTCAGCCAGGCAGAACTGTTCCATTTCTGCTAGAGAACAGTGTCTCATTCTGCGAACTTGAACGTGTTCTATGTGCTGCCAGCCCTGAACGCCTCCGCTGGGCCAGAGGGTGGTTCTTCGCAGTGGCTCGCTTTGTTTCTGTGTACCCTCTTTATTTTTATTTTTAAAATATATTTTATTGATTTTTACAGAGAGGAAAGGAGAAGGATAGAAAGCTAGAAACATCGATGAGAGAGAAACATTGATAAGCTGCCTCTTGTATACTCCCTACTGGGGATGTGCCCGCAACCAAGGTACATGTCCTTGAGCGGAATTGAACCTGGGACCTTTGAGTCCAAAGGCCGACGTTCTATCCACTGAGCCACACTGGTGAGGGCAATGTGTACCCCCTTTTAACTTTCTCAGGAAAGTACGGGGATGCTAGCTGTGTAGGATTGATCTGACATGGGACACAGGAAATGAGCCTGGGGTCATAAACGCCAGCTGTAAAGGTCACGTGACTGAGGCATTGCTCTTTGCACCGACAGCCACGCCAAGTGCAGTCCGCGCAGCCCTGTTGCCATTGCTGGGTGTGCAACCTCTGCCCGGGTGCATGGCTCCACTGGTGCCTTGCCATCCTCTGAGCCGGGTGCAGGGAAGGGCAGAGAGAGTCCTCAGGCGGGGCCCAGAGCTCCTTCACCGTTTCTTCTCAGGATGACATCATTGATGACGTGGAAAGTTTCGTTGCTGCTGCAGAGATCCTGAAAGAGAGAGGCGCTTACAAGATCTACGTCATGGCCACACACGGCATCCTGTCCGCAGAGGCCCCGCGCCTGATCGAGGAGTCCTCCATCGATGAGGTCTGTGTGCGGGGCTCCACTTCTTAGTGTAGGTCCTGGCTCGCTGCCTCTTCTGTGAGTGATGCCGGGACTCGGCCAGCGTTGCTGACCCTCCCGAGGGCCTGTCCTGGTCGGCGTCTGTGTGCTCAGTGTGACCCGTGCTTCCACACGGCGTGATGCCCACGTAGCATTTCTCCTCCGTGCAGCGCAGGGCTCACGTGTCTCCTGCACACCAGACGTTGGCGCTCAGAACCTTAGTTCTGAACCACGAAACCCCTCCCGGGTTGGTCAGTCTAGTTTGTAAACCCCAGACTCAGCGGACTAAGTTTTATGGGGTGGGCCTTGGGCGGGGGTACTAAATGTTGGATGAATGTTTCCAAACGACCACTGGGCACACGAGTTACCATGCTTGTTCCCGTTGTTGCCATGCCAGGTGGTGGTGACCAACACTGTCCCCCACGAGGTGCAGAAGCTGCAGTGCCCCAAGATCAAGACGGTGGACATCAGCCTGATCCTCTCCGAGGCCATCCGCAGGATCCACAATGGGGAGTCCATGGCGTACCTCTTCCGGAACATCACCGTGGACGACTAGCTCCACGGTGGCCTGGGCCTGGGCTCCTGAGGAGGACGGTGCCGTCACTACGTACATGGTGTTTCCTTCCCAGGGAGGCAGCGGCTCCCGTCCAGATTGGCCAGCGGGAGGCATTCAGGTAGCCGAGAGGGAGACCACACTAACGGATAAATGGCCTTAAACATGCGCCCTCACCATCCTGTTCCTTCAAGGAACATTCCAGCACTTTTCAGAGGAGAACCAGAGCTGATGGTGCTGGAAGGACTTCCGGCAGCCGTTCTAACTCCGGAACGTTCCAGCCTCGGGGAATGCGTGCTCATGTTCAGCCTGGGGAGGGAAGCCGAGTGCTGGCACCATTTCCATCCTCGGGTGAAATTCTGGAGAGGTGCCTTTTCCTGGAGAAGCCGCTGGTGCAGCCAGTGAGCAGGCGCGTGCGCAGTATTCTCCCCAGCAAGGACGCGGTCAGAGTGGCGCCCTCCGCTGTGTGCCTTGCTGGTCTCTTCACGCTATTGCACAGCCACCCACTGTGTGCCTCCTGTGACTACCTGGTCCAGAACTCCGCAGGAAATGCGGGATGCAGTCGGGGGTGGGGTCCATGGTGGTCCCAGTCCCAGGCAGATGTCTGTCACAGGTCCTGTCCTTCCGACCTGTTGGCGTGAGGTCCCCGTTGAGATGGTTAAGATCTAAATTTGTAAAACAACTGGTTGTAGTTTCCCCGTTATAGGTGACACTGTTTATTGAATCACCTAGGCTGCACGTGGCCTTTCTACCCAACGTTTAAAATGACACTCAGCACCCTGGCGCACACCAGTTGTCAGGGAGACCTGGCTGCACCCTCTGGTCCAACCCGGGGCAGCGAGTGTAGCGACGGGGAGGAGGGCGTCTGCCCGTGACCGGAATTGCTTGTTGGGTCTGGTAGTTCCTCGGAGACAATAAAGGCCAATTTGCACAGTTTGTACGGTGTGTTTCTGCAGGAAACTTCTGTTGACTTAAATATATATATATAATTTCTGAGAGGGAGAGAGAGATATCAACAATGAAAGAAAATCATTGATTGGTGCCTCCTGCACATCCCCCACTGGGGATCGAGCCCATAACCCAGGCATGTGCCCTGACCAGGAATCTAAGCCAGACCTGGTTCCTAGGTCGACACTCAACTACTGAGCCACACCGGCCGGGCTCATTTACGAAGGACTAGAAAAGTTCCTGTTCTGCAGGCAAGACAGCCCATTAGCTTTTCGAGCGTACAAAAAGGCTGCTGCTGTTAACAGGCCAGGTGGGAGCATTTGAGCAAAGAACTTCACTATGAAATGAGCATGGGTAGAGGAAGAGCCACAGACTTCCTTAGGAGACCAGGTTCCTACTGTGTTTCCCCAAAAATAAGACATCCTCCGAAAATAAGACCTAGCGCATGGAAAGATAAGACATCCCCTGAAAATAAGACCTAGCGCAACTTTGGGAAAAAAAATTAAAACACTGTCTTATTTTGGGGGAAACATGGTAGCTTGGGCAGATGGCTCGTCCTTCCTGGCCTCTGTTGTCTGCAGTATAAAGAGGTTTCAACCAAATTCCATTTATACTCCATTTATATATTCCAAATATCCATAAATATTAATTCCATTAATATTTCCCCACTGGTACATACTTAGTGAAAGCATGTAGTAGAACATATTTTCTGGGATTAGAATGAGGGTATATTGGATATGCCCTTCCCGATGGCATTTAGAGTCCTCATGTGCTTGGCATGATGCCAAGTCTCAGATGAAAACAAAAAAACGGGCCTGGCTGGTGCGTCTCAGTGGTTGAGCATGGCTGTATGAACTGGGAGGTCACAGTTCCACTTGCCCTCAGGGCACATGGCTTGGTCCCCAGTAGGGGGCGAGCGGGGGGCAGCCAAGCAGTGCGGCTGATGAGTGATTCTTCTCATTGATGTTTCTATCGCCCGCTCTGAAACCAATAAAAGTACATTCTAAGAAGAAATAAGATGGAAACAGGCATTGCAGCCGCAGCTAGTTTAGTGGCAGTAGCAGTCATGGGGGAGTCCCTGACCTGGGGATGGAGAACCCACGTGCCACAGCTTCCAGACAGGCCGGCCCGGTGAAACTTCCCAGGCTGTGACTGCTCTGGCCTAAGCTTCACCAGGCCGGCCGCGGGTGCACAGAGAGCAGAGTGTGTAAGGCACATGTGTCAAACACAAGGCCCGCGGGCCAAATCCGTCCCGCCAGGCCTTGCAATGTGGCCTGCACCGCGCTGTCATCACTGCACTCCGCTGCGTTTCCATCACAATGACAGTTTATGACTGTTCAGTAAACCATTCGGCCCGCGATTTAGGCTGGATTTTAGATTTTGGCCCCTTCTCTGATTGAGTTCGACACCCCTAGTGTAAGGTGACCAGATCGTCCAGGTGTTGGCGGGACAGTCCTGATTTCTAACAATTTTTCCTGCATCCTGCGGCGTTTTAAAAAAGTCCCGATTTTTGGAAAGAATGTTCCCAATCTTTAAAAAAATCCGGACTTTATTAAAATGCCGCGGGACAAATGGTTAAAAATCGGGACGTCCGGTCACCTTACTTTAACTCCATTTCCAGGGACACACTGCTTTGGTGGGGGGTGAGGGGAGGGTGTCCATGAAGGGTTTTAATGGCATTGTACCACCTCAGACTAGGCTGAATTTGAGTCTGAAAGCAGTTAAAACTGCCTGCAGGTGGGCTGTCGGGAGCAGCCTGGGGGCGGGGGGAGGGTGTTCTGAGGTAAATTGGCACCAACGAGGCCTGACGGGGCAGCAGGAAAGGCCTGTCTGCTGAGGGAGTGGGACACGGTGGTGAGTGGGCTTTCCTGTTTCCCTCCCTTGTGGTTGTGCAAAGTGAGGGGAAGTGTCCCCAAGGGGCCAGGACTCAGGGCCGCCCCAGGTTGGTGCGGCTGCTCTGCGTCAGAGCGCCCGAAGGACATGGCGTGGCGCCGGGCGGCCTCCGGAGGGAGAATCCGGCCTTTCCGGGCTGAGGCGGCTGCCGCGGGTGGCCCTCAGGAGCCTCCCCTCCCCACACCACGTGGCGCCCCCAGCTGAGAACGCCTTGGGGCGCCCGCGCCCCTGTCCTGGGCGCCTTTGCTGAGGATAAAAATGAGCGGCGCCTCGGAGTGCGGCCAGAGCCTCCCCGATCCCCGCGGGAAAGGGGGCGCCTTGGCGCGCAGCCAGGTCCCGGCAGGCGCTGCGCCGCCCCGCGCGCTCCTCCCCCTCGGGCCGCGTGCGCACGCGCGCTCCTCTGCGCGCCAAACCTCACAACCGGACCGACCCACCGCGCGACCCAACGTTCACGACACCCTCCCCAGGGAGACAGCCCTGGGCTCCCGCAGAGACCGGCCGACCGGACGGCGGACGGTTGGACGGTTGGCGGGGACCCCACCCAGGCGGGCTCCAGAGGATGACTGGCGTCCAGTGCGGCCGGGACCAGGGGCAGGGCGCCCCGGGACCCCTCAGAGGCGCTGCGAGCAGTGAGGGGGGCCTGGCCAACCGTCTGGCGTCGGAAGCTGAGCGCTCCTGAGGCCGCGCACGATGCCGCCCGTCGGGGCCACCGTCTCCCTCCAGGAGCTGGCCAACCTGGCCATCGGCACCCCCGAGGTGGGGGCCGTCAACTTCAACGCGCTCCACACGCTCCTCGTGGCCCTGCTCAAGAACCTCAACATGCAGGACCTCCGGGTGGACTACCACCAGCCGCTGTCGCCCGAGCGGAGGCTCTCGGATACCCTTCGGGTGTGGCCCGCCACCCCGCTGCTGTCGACCAGCAGCCCGCAGGTCTCTGTGTCTAAAGAGAAAGAGAAGCGAAAGGCCAGCCTGCCCAGGGTCCCGTCGATGGTGCTGGAGAGCCAGATGAAGGGCCTGGGCGGGCAGGTCCAGGACCTGGATCGGCAGGTCCAGGGCCTGGGCGTGCAGGTCCAGGACCTGGACCGGCAGCTCAGGAACATGGACAACCAGCTGCAGGGCGTGCTGTCCCACATCCAGTACTTCACCTCCCTGGTCTCCGGCCCGGACGTGGAGACCTCGGAGTGGCTGGAAGAGCAGGCGAAGGCCTATGTCTTGGCTGAGGGTGTGGGTGCTGAGAGGAGCGCGTCCACCGAGCCGGGCGCCTTCATCACAGAGGAGGGCGCTCCCGTCAGCGAGACGGGCGCGCCCACCACTCAGAAGGGCGCGCCCACCACCCAGAAGGGCGCGCCCACCACCCAGAAGGTCGCACCCACAACCCAGAAGGGCACGCCCACCACCCAGAGGGGCGCGCCTACCACCGAGGGGGGCGCGCCTACCACCGAGGGGGGCGCGCCCATCACCGAGGGGGCCGTGCTCATGACGGAGGAGGGTGTGCTCATGACAGAGGAGGGCGTGCTCATCACCGAGGAGGGAGCGCCCATCACCCAGGAGGGAGCGCCCATCACCCAGGAGGGCGCGCTAGGCGCGTTCAAGACTGAGGAGGGTGTGCTCATGACGAAGGAGGGCGTGCTCCTGACGGAAGAGGGCGCGCCCATCACCGAGAGGGGCGCGTCCATCACCGAGAGGGGAGCGCCCATTAGCGAGGGGGGCGTGCCCATCAGCGAGAGGGGCGCGCCCACCACCCAGAGGAGCGCGCCCATCAGCGAGAGGGGCGCGCCCACCACCCAGAGGGGCGCGCCCACTACCCAGAGAGGCGCACCCATCAGCGAGAGGGGCGTGCCCACCACCCAGAGGGGCGCGCCCATCAGCGAGAGGGGCGTACCCACCACCCAGAGGGGCGCGCCCATCAGCGAGAGGGTCGCGCTTCCGAAGGCCAAGCCCGTGCCTGGGACGGGCAAGGCGGTGCCCGACATGGGCAAGGGGAAGCCGGAGACAGCAAAGTCTCCAATGGGGATGGCCATGCCCATGCAGAGGTTGGTTTCGCCTGCTCCGGGGGTGGCACCGCCCATTCCGGGGATGGCCGTGCCCGCGCCTGAGATGGGCAAACTGATGCCCGAGAAGATGCGGGCGTTGGTGAAATGGTGGAAGGAAGGTCCCCAGGTGAGAGCAAACGGGGCTCCTCCACTCCGCCCTCCAGCTCAGGCTGGAGCTGGACCACAAAGGCGCCCATGACCACCATCTCGTGAGGGGGGGGGGGGAGGAGCGGGAGGAGGAAGGGGCATGGCCAGGCCTCCGTGAAGCCCCGCCCATGTGGCCCCGCTCACCTTGCAGGTCATGGAGATGCTCCACAACGTCATGGAGCAAGTGAAAATCTTGAAGGAAGCCCAGGAGAAGGCACATGAGGCCACAGAGTTCGATCCGATGGTGAGGGCGGTGGGGACCCCACCCCATCTCGCCCCGTTTCCAGGGAGGCTCAACCACAGCTCATCAGACACCCAAGGACCCCGAAGCCACCCAGAGGGAAGATGGTGTGGTTCAGTGGATAGAACTGAACCCAGACTGAAGGGTCCCGGGTTCAATTCCTGTCAAGGGCAGGTACCTCGGTGTGTCTTTCTCACATCGACGTTTCTCTCCCTCTCCCTTCCACTCTTTCTAAAAATCAATGAAGAAAAACAATCCTTGAAAGAAATAAGGTGGTGGGATTTGAGAGACAAAGCTCAGTTCCAGAAGAGGGGGAGCAACACTTCCACTTGGGGCAAGCCTGCAGGTGCCCCGCCCATGCTGCCACAGCAGCTCCAGCAGGGCTCCTGTCCACCCTGAGGCCTCCAGAGGGGACCAGGCTGACCTCTGACCCGCCCAGGACAGGCCAGGGCAGGGAGGCTCAGAAGCGGCAGCTGGGGAGGCCCAGGTTCGCAGGGGACTCCCGCCCAGCCTTGAGACACCCCATTGGTGCTCATTTTTGTTGTGGGAAGCTTTGCTTTTTAAAAATAATATTTAATAATTTTTTAAAAAATATATTTTTATTGATTACAGAGAGGAATGGAGAGAAACATCAATGACGAGAAAGAGTTATTGATCGGCTGCTTCCTGCACGCCCCACACCAGTAATCCAGAATAGAACTGTGACCTTCTAGTTCATAGGTTGACGCTCAACCACCAAGCCACGCTGGCTGGAAAGCTTTGCTTTTGCTTTTTGTTAATCCTCACCCCAGGATATTTTTCCATTGATAAATAAATAAATATATATATATATATATATATATATTTTAGAAAGAGTGGAAGAAAATGGGAAAGACAGAGAAAAACATCAGTGTGTTTGAGAAAAACACATCAATTGGTTGCCTCCTGCACAAGCCCCTACCAGGGCCAGGGCAGGGGAGGAGCCAACAACCCAGGCAAGTGCCCTTGACCAGAATCGAGCCCGGGACCCTTAGCTCCACAGGCCAGCGCTCTATCGGCTGAGCCAAACGGGCCAGGACAAAAGCTTTGCTTTTGAAAGTGTGATGTGTTTAAAAAAAAAAAAAAAGTGTGGTATGTTTATGGTTTTAGGGTTTTGGTGTTTAGAGAAAAGGCTTCTTATTTACTCTTAGGATCTTAGATGATGGAGGTTTGCAGAAGTTACAAGTTTCAGCAATTTGCTTTTATTTAAAATATTTTTTTAAAATTTGATTTCAGAGAGGAAGGGAGAGAAAGAAACATCAATGATGAGAGACAATCATTGATTGGCTGCCTCCTGCACCCCCCCTATTGTGCCCCGCCGGCACAGCCAGGGTGAACCTGAGAGGGGGCAGTGAAGGATGGAGAAAAGACAGACAAGAGAATAAAGTTGGGTCTGGGTAGGACACTGTCCTCTCTAATGGAGAGACAGCGCCATGGCCTGCAAGCCAAGTCTTCATTTTTTAGCCAGATTCTAGGAGGCAAAGTAAGGGCGTGGTCATAATGTTCTCATGGGTTTCGGATCCACTCAACTACATGCAGCTGACCCAACTTTGTTTACTTGCTGCACCTCCCGCAGCCCACATCACTCAGCCACGTGGGCCCACAAGGTTCGGACCATAAGGTCAAGCTCACAGCCACAGCCTCTGCCCTCCAACTGGGACCTGCACGTGGCTTTCTCATTAGTCCGTGCCCTCTCGTTAGTCTGAGGCTTGGACTTGTCCAAATGCTGTAGCCGCTCTCCACACCCTACTGAGGATCGAGCCCATACCCCGGGCATGTGTCGTTGGTGGGGACCCAGTCTGGGACCCTTCAGTCCACAGGCCGATGCTCTGTCCACTGAGCCACACCAAGTAGGGCGAATGGCAATTTGCTTTTAAGCAGCATAGCCACTCAGCCACCCTGGAAGTACTCCCTCCCCTCCCCCTTGGGGGGCAGTGTCTCCTCAGTGGTTTGCCCACAGACTCCCATCCAGCATTAGCATTGGCTCCTGGCACATCTGTCCCTACTCCCTCCACGTCCCGTTCTTGTTGGCTTACCCCTCTCTGCCCTCTGCTCCTCTGGGATCCACACACCTCGCTCCTCTCCCCTGCGAGGATGTGTGTGTGTGGGGCGGGCTTGGGGGGACAGGAGCACCTGCTTTGACCGCCACCTCTGCACTCTCCTTCCAGGGGCTCCTGCATCGGCTGGAGGAAGTAGAGAAGATAGTCAAGAACCGGGAGGTGTTCCTGGTAATGTCCGCCAGTTCTGCAAAGGGCCCCGCCAGGGGGTGGGGGAGGGGTGCCCATAGCCTGGCTCCGCCTCTCGGGCGCCCCCAGACCTCCGCCCCAATGTCTGTGTCCCTGCGAGCCGCGAGCCGGGACGATGTGTACGCCCTCTGCCTCTCGGGCGCCGCCCCTGGCCTGAAGGGGATCCTTTCCACGGCTGCCCACTGCTCCCTGCGGGCCCACGGGGCATAGGGAGCCAGCTGCCCAGGGCCCAGGGTCTTCTCCTGGGACCGCAGGGGATCTGGCTGGGGGGTACGCATCAGCACACCCATGTGCTCTGTGCCCTCAGGAACCCTTCAGCCGGAAGATGTCTCTGCTGCCCCCTGGAGAGGAAGTCACCATGGTCACCTGGGAGGAGCTGGAGCAGGCGATTACTGATGGCTGGAAGGCCACCCAGGTGGTGCCCATGTGGGCAGGGGCTGGGCAGTGGGCTCCGTGGCTCCCCGCTTCTCTCCCTTTTTATATATGCATGTTTGTTATATATGTTTGTATGTATGTATGTATTTTTAGAGGGAAAGGGAGAGGGGTAGAGAGAAACATCATCAATTGGCTGCCTCCTGATGCCCCATTTTGGGAATTGAGCCTGAAGCCCGGGCATGTGCCCTGACTGGGAATCCATCCTGTGACCTCTTGGCTCCTGGGTTGATGCTCAATCGCTGAGCCACACTCTTAAATATATCTTTTCTAATAAAAGAGAAACATGCAGCCGGGACCGGTTTGGCTCAATGGATAGAGCGTCGGCTTGGGGACTGAAGGGTCCCGGGTTCGATTCCGGTCAAGGGCATGTACCTTGGTTGCGGGCATATCCCCAGTAGGGGGTGTGCAAGAGGCAGCTGATCGATGACTCTCTCTCATCGATGTTTCTCTCTATCTCTCTCCCTTCCTCTCTGTATAAAATCAATAAAATATATATTAAAAAAAGAGAGAGAGAGAGAGAGAGAGAGAGAGAGAGAGAGAGAAACATGCAAATTGATCATATCTCTGCTATGGCCCACATCCATGCCCACCAGCCAATCAAGAGCTAACATGCAAATTAACCCAACCAAGATGGCGGTTAATTTGCATATCCAGGCCCAGAGCAAAGACTGAAAACGGCGTAGAAGGAAGCCAAGCACTGCAGAAGGGAGCGAAGCTGCAGAGAAGCAAACGGGGTGGCAGAGACCACAGCAGGAAGCCCTGTTGCAGGAATCTTCCTACAATGGGCCTCTAGAATTGTGTGTGTGTGTGTGTGTGTGTTTGTATATATATATATATATATATATATATATATATATATATATATATATATATATATGAATTGAATTTTAGAGAATGAGGAAGGGAGAGATAGAAGCATCCATAACTGCCTCCTGATGCCCCCTAGTGGTAATTGAGCCTGAAACCTGGGCATGTGCCCTGACTGGGAATTGATCCTTCAACCACTTGGCCCCTGGGTCAATGCTCAACCAACTGTGCCACACCGGCCAGCTCTCCCTTTTTACCGTCGCACCGTGTTCCATCCTGTGGATGATCGTAATTTATTTCCGTCTCCTGTTACTTTCCAGTTTTATAACCAGGTGCTCCGTGTGGCATTCACACTCGTGCACACACCCAGGGCTCATTCCCGGAGGTGGCAGTGCATGTGTGACTTGGCTGGCTTTGGACCAGGTGCCTGGCGTGGTGTGGCTCCAGGTTAGAGCCCTGTGGGCTTGCACGGCCCCACCAGCACTGCCTCCAGGTGGCCAGGGCCGGGAGCGTGGCCAGTCGGCCGGATGGACACTGGCACCTGGCTTACTTCTGCGGCATTCCCGGGCTCTTCTCCAGGCTGCCCTGAAATGCCCGGGTCCCGTTCGATTCATGGGCAAAGGTGGCAACCGCCCCCGGAAACGAAACCTCTTTAGTGCCCCTTGCTGATGGTGACCTTTACCCTCAGGGAAACTCCCAGAGGAGCCTGCCTGTTCTGAGACGGTACAGGATAAGCAGCTTGTGTTCGAACCCCCAACCTTGCTTCTCTGAACAGAATGGGCATTTGCTAATGGCCTTTGGGGCGAGGATCCGCTGTCTCCCCCACCACCCCCGTTGTTGTTGTTTTTGTTGTTGTTTTTAATCCTCAATCAATGTTTTCCATTGATTCTAGAAAGAGAGGGATGGAGAGGGAGAGAGAGAGAAAAGTTGATGTGAGAGAAACAACCGGTTGCTATGCATGGGCCCCAACTGGGGACTGAACCTGCAACCTGGGCATGTGCTCCGACCGGAAATCGAACCCGAGACTGACCACTGAGCGGCACGAGGCAGGGCTCAGCTGTCTTTTTGGTCTTGACATCTCCCTCCTCTTGGCTTTGTGCATCCGGGTTCCTCACAATGGGTTCTAGGGATATGCAGACCCACCCAAGGCCAATATCGGGAACCCTTGGGTGCCACCAAGTGGCCATCTGAGGTGCAACAAATGCTGACTGGGTACTGAAGACAACCTGCTGGTCCCCAAGACTGTTTTTCTGAATTCTGGGCCCACATTTAGAGGAAAGCTCCATCAGAAAGCCCTGGGAGAGGAGCCTGAGACAGAGGAGAGGCTTCTGCTTTCACTACTTAAAATATATATTTTTAGATTTTTCAATGACAGTTGCCATGCAATATGCGTTTCAGGTGTACCACAGTGACTCGAGCCAGTGGTTCTCAGACTTTCTAATGCCGGGACCCTTTAATCCAGCTCCTCATGTGGTGGTGACTCCCAACCATAAAATTATTTTCATTGCTACTTCATAACTAATTTTGCTATTGTTAAGAATCGTAATGTAAAATATCTGTGTTTCCTGATGGTCTCGGGTGACCCTGCTAGCGGTTCTCAACCTGTGGGTCGCGACATTTATAGTTACTAGACATTTATATATCGCTGTTTAAAGGGCAAGCTGTTTGCCCTAGCCAGTTTGGCTCAGTGGATAGAGTGTCGATCGGTCCCAAGTTCGATTCCAGTCAAGGGCACAGGCCTGGGTTGTGGGCTTGATCCCTGGTGGAGGCTGTGCAGGAGACAGCCGATCAATGATTGATGTTTCTATCGCTCTCTCCCTCTTCCTTCCTTTCTGGAGTCAATAAAAATATACTTTAAAAACCCTATATAATAAAAGGCTAATATGCAAATTGTCCCCTCAACTGGGAGTTCGACCAGGGGGCAGGGTTGGCTGGCCAACTGTCTGCGGCCCCTCCCCCAGGCCAGCCCAGCCTGATAGGCCCCAATTAGGGCACACCAGTTTGGCCCCACTCATGCATGAATTCGTGCACCAGGCCTGTAGTAAATAAATTACTCATGCTCTTTTTTTTTTTCCCCTTAAAAAAAAATACATTTTATTGATTTTTTACAGAGAGGAAGGGAGAAGTTAGAAACATCCATGAGAGTGAAACATTGATCAGCTGCCTCTTGCACACTCCCCCACTGGGCACATGCCTGCAACGAAGGTACATGCCCTTGACTGAAATTGGATCCAGGACCCTTGAGTTTACAGGCTGACGCTCTATCCACTGAGCCAAATCAGCTAGGGCAATGCTCTTTTTCTTTAAAAAAAAAAATATTTTTTTTTTTATTGACTTCAGAGAGGAAGAGAGGAGAGAGAAACATCAATGATGAGAGAGAATCATTGATTGGCTGCCTCCTACTGGGGATCAAGCCTGCAACCGGGACATGTGCCCTTCCAGAATTGAACCCGGGACCCTTCAGTCTGCAGGCCAACACTCTATCCACGGAGCCACACCGGCTAGGGCGTACTCATGCGCTTTATTTGTAACCTCTGAGAGAGTTAGCATGGAACCCCTATCTTTATTAGACCGAGGTATGTGACCTGACTGGGAATCAAACCAGAGACCTTTCAGTGCACTGGACGGTGCTCCAACCGACGGTGCTCCAACCAACGGAGTCACACTGGCCAGAGTCCCCGTCTCTTGTAAGGAACGTTATATATTGTGACACCGTCTGCAACTGTACAGATTCTCAACCATCTGGAGACCTTATCCTTCAAGAGTGTCCGGTTCTGCCCTGGCTGGTGTGGCTCAGTTTGTCGGAGTGTCCTCATGGGTTTGAGTCCTGGTCAGGGCGTCCATGGGAGAGGAGTCAACCAATTGATCTCTCTCTCTCTCTCTCTCTCTCTCTCTCTCTCTCATCAATAAACATATCCACACATCCTTGGTTGAGGATTTTTTTTTTTTTTTTAAGTGACAAATGCTCTTGGTGTCCAGCTTAGTTTGGGGGACCAGCGGGTCTTCTCCCCTCAAGAGCCGTAGGCTATCCTACTCAGACACCCCCGGTTCCCTCCCCTCCAAGCCTTATGCTGTTCTTACTCGTGGCCTCTGCTTGCTTCCTTCCTCTTCGACCAGGGCATAGACACCACGCCAGCCATCCTTAAGCGCAAAGTGAAACCGACCGTGACAAGTACCTCCTCCACTGGGTATCCGGGCGCCGACCAGGCTCCGGACTTGGCTGGCGGCGTTGGCTCAGAGCTGGGGCCCAGCGGACTGAGACAGCCCTCTGACAGAGAACTACACCACCCACCTTCACCCCGATTAAGAGAAGCCGATCGCCACAGGCTCAGGGAGTGGCCCAGCTTCACACGTCTGAGAAGAATCAAGCAAGACGCACATCCTGGTCTGGCTCCACAGGACCTACCCAGAGACCGGCACCATCTCATGCCCCCGGATGCTCGCGGCGGGATGACCCCCATCCCGGGCCAAGTCATGTACGAAAGGCCCGACCAACTTGGGCCGGGGCCGCCTGGCCTGGGCCAGCTTGAGTTTCAGCCTCCTAGCGTTTACTCATATGGCTTCCCCTTCAGCACGGGCCAGCTGGGTATGATGCCACCTGGAATGGAGGAGCAGGTGTTGGTTCAGCACGATATGGTGCCAATGTGGGTACCTGGCATGGGTCAGCAAGGATTGGAACTACCTAGTAGGGCACAGCCTACTGTGATTCCACCGAGTACACTGCAGTACGGTATGAGATTTCCCGGCCCAGACCAACGTGCCATGGAGCGGCCTGCAATGGACGAGAGACCCGTGGGTGTGAGACCCGGGGGCATGGATCAGCCGGGGTTTCCAACCTCTGACATGGACCAACAAGTACTGGTTCCATCTTTTAAAGACCAGGAAGGTTTTGTACAGCCCAGCTTGGAGCCACCTGTCTTCATGCAGCCTGCCGCACCGCAATTCGATGTGCTACCTCTCGGAGCAATTCGGCCTGGCTTGGTCCCACTTGGAATGGACCAGCCTGGTTTAGTCCCATCTGGTGTAGGCCAGCCTGGTTTAGTGCCACCTGGTGCAGGTCAGCCTGGTTTAGACCAACCTGGAATGGATCAGCCTGGTTTAGTCTCCCCTGGTGCAGGTCAACCTGGTTTGGTGCCACCTGGTGAAGGTCAGCCTGCTTTAGTCCCACCTGGTGAAGGTCAGCCTGGTTTGGTGCCCCCTGGTGAAGGTCAACCTGCTTTAGTCCCACCTGGTGAAGGTCAGCCTGGTTTAGTTCAACCTGGTGCAGGCCAGCCTGGTTTTTTCCCACCTGTTGCAGGTCAGCCTATTTTTTTCCCACCTGGTGCAGGTCAGCCTGGTTTTTTCCCACCTGGTACAGGTCAGCCTGGTTTGGTACAGACTGGTAAATATCCACCCGGTTTTGTACAGCCAGGTGCATATCCATATAGTTTCGCTCAACCTGGCGTCTATCCACATGGTTTGGTCCAGCCTGGTGCATATCCACAGGGTTTCATGCGGCCTGATGTGGCAGGTCAGCCTGGTTTAGTCCCATCTGGTACAGGCCAACCTGGTGCAGATCAGCCTGATTTTGTCCAACGTGAAACGGACCAGTATGGTTTAGTCCAACCCGGTGCTGGTCAGCCTGGTGTGGTCCAACCTGGAATGGATCAGCGTGGTTCAGTCCAACCTGGTGAAGGTCAACCTGGTGTGGTCCAACCTGGAGTTGATCAGCGTCACTTGGTGCAGCGAGGGGCGTATCCCCCCGGTTTTGTACAGCCAGGGGCATATCCCCCCGGTTTGGTTCAACCTGGTGCCTACCCACCACATGATTGGATGCAGGCTAGGGTCTATCCTCGTGCTTTGGTCCAGCCCAGTGCATATCCACGTGGTTTACTACAGCCGGATATTGATCAGCAAGGTTTAGTCCCACCCGGTGCAGCTCAGGAAGTGCAACCTGGAGTAGATCAGCCTGGTCTGAGGCAGCCTGGTGCTGATCAAGTACCACCAGGCGCACAGCCTCAAGGCTTTCCACCCCAATATCAGCATGGCGTGGCACCTCCTGGCAGAGATCAACGTATCCGGGCATCACCACACCTATCCAGGCAAGGTTGGATGTCGCCTGGTACGGACCAAGAGGGTTTGGCACCTACAGACACATATCCACGAGGCATAGTCCCGCGTGGCCCAGAACCATTAATCACCGGCGTATCTGCACGCCCAGATCAGCAGCATTGGCCGTCACCTGACCTGGACCACGCGGGTGCAGACTACCGTGACCAAGCCTCCTTTCTCCAAGACCCACGCGGCCCGTATCCTGGCCCTTACGGCCCCAGGTACCCAGGCATGGATCAGCATGTCCAAGCACGTCTGGACCCACACAAACGCAGGGCCCGGACTCCGACCACCCTGGGTCCAGAGCAGAGCGTGGACTCCGATAGCGCATCCTTGCAAGTCTCACGAGAGCCGAGTTATATCGAGCCTCAGAGACACGATTCGCTGGAGAATGTGGCTCCGAACTTCCCCATCGCCATTGAGACCTTCCGCCTGATGGGCGAGCTCGTCAGCCTCTACTCAGAGCTCAAGGAGAACATGAAGACCCTGGACACGGAGAAGGCCGGCGAGAGCGACCTGGAGAAGATCCAGTACCTGCTCGCCCTGATGGGTGGGTGCCGCTCGGGGGCGGAGAGGCCACGGTGGGCTCTATCCTCTGTGTGTGTGTGTGTGTGTGTGTGTGTGTGTGTGTGTGTCCGGCCTCGCTTCTGGCAGCCGGTCGTCTGCCCGAACCCCTGGAAACAGAATGTCTGTTTTTGGCCGTCCCGGGCTCTCTCTTTATAATATCACCTGAGGGCTATGCAGAATCATCCACTTAGACATTAATTGCGTGCAAACGTTTTATTAGCTCACCTCTCATGCCTTGGCAGGGCCAGACCCAATGATTTCTCAGGCCTCGTGTGGCCCGCGGGCCGGACATTCCCCGCCCTGTCCCGGAGCCTTCGGGGTCTGAGAGATGGAAGTAAGCCATTGGCAGGAAGGCACCTCAGAAGAGGAATGAGGCAGGGCATGCCTCTGTCAGGCTCCCTGGAGAGCAGCTAGGGAAATGCTGGGCGAGGGAGAATAATGAAGATTTTGGAGGTGGGTGGAAACTATGGGCCAGTGGCCCCAAAGCCCTATGGGATGTTAAGCCTTCGGTGGGTTTTTTATGGGCTGCGGACACTCTTGTCTCGTGTCTTCCCCTCCCCACCCCCCACGTCCAGTCCTGCGAGAGGGGGGGAGGGGAGGACTGGAAGTGGAGATTAGACGCCCTCTGGGGATCGAAGCCTGCGGCCTCTGAGCGCCCATTTCCCACAGTCCAAAGGACCATCCCGCCGGACCTGCAGGAGCAGCTGAAGTCCATCAAGACCCTGACCAAAGAGGTTCGGCAGGAGAAAGCAAAGGTGAGTGAGGGCGGACCTGCTACCTGGCCTGGGCGCCAGTGACCCCCCCTCCCCCGCCCGCCCCCCATTTGTGCGTTGATGGACCAGTCACCCCGGGTGGAACTGCTATCTCGCTGCCTCCTGCTGCCTCCTGCACGCCCCTCAGGCGGGAAATGCAGCTCGGACCTTGAGGGATTCTTTCCTGATGGGAAAGCTGCGGCTGGGAGCTGTGGCCTGGGCCCCAGGGGGCAGTCTCTCTGGCTCGGCCCTTTCCAATGAGGGCATCAACCATGGGGCGGCCTGGGGCCCAGTGCGGGCTGACGGGCCGTGCCAGGGCTGCGGTCTCCAGTTATTTTTGTTGTTGTTGTTCTCACCCAAGGATATTTTCCCATTGATTTCTAGATAGAGTGGAAGGGAGAAGGAGAGACAGAGAGGGAGGAATATCCGTGTGAGAGACACATGGATGGATTGCCTCTCACCCTCGCCCCAACTGGGGCCAGGGAACTGAGGTGCATGCCCTTGAAGGGAACTGAACCTGCACCCTTCAGTCTGCAGCCTGACACTCTATCCACTGAGCCAAACCAACTAGGGCCTTAGTGGTATGTATACATATATTTTCCTCATTAGAGGATATTTTCCCATCGAATTTTAGAGAGAGCGGAAGAGAGGGGGACAGGCAGAGAGAGCAGCATCCATGTGAGAGAGACACATCAGTTGGTTGTCTCCCGCATGTGCCCCGACCTGAACCAGGGATCAAGCCCTTGACAGGAATCAAACCTGGGACCCTTCCGTCTGCAGGCCGATGCTCTATCCACTGAGCCACACCAGCCAGGGCGTTAGTTGTCTTCTTACTGAAGATTGTCTACATCATGGGATGGAGAGAGGGAGGGAGGTCAGGAAGGAACCTCGGCTTTTGTCAGCAGGTTGGATTAGGGTCGGGTGGGGGGAGGGGCTCACTCAGGCCCAGCACTGCAGGGAGCAGAGCCAGCTGCTGACCCGCCTCTCCCGTTGGCTTGTAGATGGACAAGTTGCAGAAGTTCCTGGAGGGCGAAGGGCAGACAGAAATGGGGAGGGAGGTGGCCGCTGGCCCGCTGGGCTTGCAGCTGGGTCTCCTCAGGTAAGTGGGCTGCCCTGCCCCGCCTCCTGTCCCCCCCCCTCGTCCCCCAGCTCCCAGCCACCAGGGAGGTGGGAGCAGGCTTTGGTTGGCCCACACCCTCTCTGGCCTGGGGCGTGTCTGCTCTTCTGACTGCCCTCATCTAAATAGTTCAAGTTGCTGGTGGGAGTTTCCCAAGTTCCTGAAACAGCTCAGCACTAGGACAACTTGAAGTGCTACCTCCACACCTGCTGCCCCCCCAAAAAGGCTCCTTCGACTCTGTCCCCAGGGGGAGCTGGAAGGGAATGCTCTCTGCAGGCCAGGCCTCGCCTGCCACGGCGCGCTGGGCACCCCCTCTGGCAAGGCAGGGCTGTGGGCTCCCAGCCCGAGCTGGGCCCAGGCCCCGGTCCACCCCCTCCATCCCTGACGGCCGGGCTCAGTGCTGGGCTGGCGGTGAGCTAGCCGGTGAGCCCGGCATCCGCTGTGCCGCAGGGTCAGCGTGAACGACATCGAGAAGGAGCTGGCGGAGCTGAGGGAGAGCCAGGAGCTGGGCAAGGTCTACATGGAGCACTCGGTCTCCGAGGCCTCCCTCTACCTGCAGGACCAGGTGAGGTGGCCACGCTCTGGGCACAGGGACCGGGCTGCCCCCTCCACGTCTCCTGCATGCGTGGGGGCGGGGGCCAGGCCTCACTTACTCCCCTGCACCTGCCTTCTCGCCCACACCCAGCTGGACAAGCTCAGGACGATCATCGAGAACATGCTGGCCTCGTCGTCCACACTGCTGACCATGAGCATGTCCCCGAAGAGGGCCTCGGTCAGCATGTCACCCGGCCAGATTGACCCCAAGGCCACCTGCCCGGCCTGTAGCCTGGACCTGAGCCACCAGGTCAGCACGCTGGTGCAGCGCTATGAGCAGCTGCAGCACATGGTCACCAGCCTGGCTGCCTCACGGCCCTCCAAAAAGGCCAAGCTGCAGAGACAGGTGACTGCGCCCCTGGGCAGCCGCCATGGCGGGGGAGTGACCCACGGGGTCCCTGGGCTTAGTCTTCCAGGAGGGAGCCCACAGCGGCCCCCGTGCCTTCCACAGGAGTGCGGGGGAGGGGGGCGTGGGCTGGGGAGGCTCAGCTGGCTGTGGGTGGAGCAGGGCCCCCCACGAGCTGTGGGGGCACGGGCACAGCTTCAGGAAGCACCCACTCTCCCTCCCAGACCCCTCCCTCTTCCCTCCAGAGGGCAGGCTTGCTGGTGGGCGGGGACTGCCATGAAGCCCTGCATCTTGCCTCTCGGATCCTGGGCTTCGGAGACGCTGTAGACCCCCCATGCTGCCTCTCGGGGGTCGCTCGCCACTCTGAGCCTTGATCACCCCACTGGCCGCAGGTCCCCAAGGCGGCAGGGCTGAGGCTCCTGTCCCCTGGCAGGGGTGGGGGGGAGGGAGGGATGGTCACAGAGACCGCGTAGGGAGCCTCCCACTGTCCGAGGAACATTGTGGAGACAACTAACGGGTTGGAGGTTGGCCGATGTGCTGGTGGTGGTGTTTTTGTTTGTTTGTTTGTTTTAAATATATTTTTATTGATTTTTTACAGAGAGGAAGGGAAAGAGATAGCCAGAAACGTCGATGATAGAGAAACATCAACCAGCTGCCTCCTGCACACTCCCCACCGAGGATGTGCCCGCAACCAAGGCACATGCCCCTGACCGGAATCAAACCTGGGACCTTTCAGTCCGCAGACCAACGCTCTACCACTGAGCCAAACCGGTTTCGGCTTTTGTTTTTGTTTTTAATAGATTTGTACTGATGTGTTGATTTCAGAGAGGAAGGGAGAGGGAGAGAGAGAAACATCCATGATGAGAATCACTGATCGGCTGCCTCCTGCAGGCCCGCTATCTGGTATGTGCCCTGACTGAGAATCAAACTGTGACCTCCTGGGTCATAGGTCAGTGTTCAGCCACTGAGCCATGCCGGCTGGGCTGGGTGAGGTTTTAAGGGTCAACTTATGGGGGGCAAGGGGACGGCCCTGGAGAGCCTCGGCCGCCCCAGTGAGCAGCCCTGACCCCACGCCGCAGGACGAGGAGCTGCTGGGCCACGTGCAGAGCGCCATCCTGCAGGTGCAGGGTGACTGCGAGAAGCTCAACAGCGTCACCGGCAACCTCATCGAGGACCACCGGCAGAAGCAGAAGGATATCGACGTGAGCGCTGGGGGCAGGGCGGGATCCAGCCACCCCTGCCCTCTGTCCCTCGTTCCTCATTCTCATTCTCCCTTTGCCTCCAGGTGCTGTACCAGGGTCTGGAGAAGCTGGAGAAGGAAAAGGCCAACAGGGGGCACCTGGAGATGGAGATTGAAGTGGTAAGGGCCAAGCCAGGGGCCCTCCTGCCTGGGAGGCCAGGAGCAGAGGAAGCCGGGGCGGGTGGGGGGAGGTGTAGGCTCAGCGTCAGGGTGACTGCTCAAGGGGCCCGCCACGGCCCTCTCCCACTGGGCGGCCTCCTCTTCTCTCCGGGCAGAAGGCGGACAAGAGCGCCCTGGAGGGCAAAGTGAGCCGCGTACAGTTCGACGCCACCACGGAGCAGCTGAACCACATGATGCAGGAGCTGGTGGCCAAGATGAGCGGGCAGGAGCAGGACTGGCAGAAGATGCTGGACCAGCTCCTGTCCGAGATGGACAGCAAGGTGAGGGCCGTGAGGCTCCGGGGCCCCTGGAGGAGGCCACAGCCGCCTTCTCCGGCTTGCAGAGCCCCCACTCGCCGTCTTAGGGCTCACCAGGTCCCCCTGCCCGCAGCTGGACCGCCTGGAGCTGGACCCCGTGAAGCAGATGCTGGAGGACCGGTGGAAGTCCCTGCGGCAGCAGCTCAAGGAGCGCTCCCCGCTCTACCAGGCGGACGAGGCGGCCGGCATGCGGCGGTGAGCTCGGCGGGGCTGGGAGGTGGCCGCTGGGCGCCCTGCATGACAGCTCCCACCACTGCGACTGCCCCACGCAGGAGGGACGGTGTTTGAGGGCTGAGGCCGCCCCATAGGACAGTGGAGAGGGAGGGGATGAGGCTGGGGGGGGAGTTCCCAGTCCCCAGAGGTGAGAGCACCCCAGGGGGCCCTGGCCCATGACCACCTGACCCGCAGCATTTCCGTAACTGACCACCAGGGGCCCCCCCGAGGCTTACACAGAGCACCCCTCAGGGACACGTGGGTTAGGACAGGTGGGTGATAGGCATGTCTGGGAGTGGGTGGGTCTGGGAAGCAGGGACAGGACCGGCCGAGCTTCTGGCCTGCCTGGAGGCAGGCTCTCCACACTCCACTCCCCTCGCTCGAGTGTCCCATCCTCCGTGTGCCCTCCCCACAGACAGCTCCTGGCACATTTCCATTGCCTGTCCTGTGACCGGCCCCTGGAGACAACTGTGACTGGACAGTGAGTGCCCACACCTGGCCAGCCCCTCCCTGCTGCCTCCCTGTGTCCTCTCGTGGACCCACTCCTGTCCGCCTGGCCTGCTGCCTGCCTGGTCCTCGCCCCACCGCCCGATGGAGGGCTCCCGGGGCAGGAGGCCCGTGGGGAGGAGCAGGGAGGGGACCATGGGATTTCTCATGCTCGACCCTCCCTTCCTCTGCCCCACCCAGGGTCCTCCCCACCACGCCCGTGGGGCCCAGCATGCCTGGGCACCGCTCCACCCGCCCCTACACGGTGTTTGAGCTGGAGCAGGTGCGCCAGCAGAGCCGCAAGTACGCAGGGGAGTGAGTGTGTGCAGGGCTGTGCAGGGGGGCGGGAGGACAGCGATGTGGGCGTCCCTCACCAGGGCTTCTGAGCTGGCACCAGCTCTCCCAGGGCAAGAATGGGGCTGGCAGGAGAGGAGGACCAGAAGCACCTGCCTTCAGAGTGGGGGGGGGGGAGGGGCAGCCACTTTCCCGCCTCACCCGTTCCCAGACCCTCGGAGGCGTGGAGGGCCGTGGAGGGGCGGGGGCCACATCACTCAGCGAGAGGTCGCTCCCTGCACCTCCCCGCCTCCTGAGGATGGGCTCGGCGGAGGGGGGTCCTCAGACTGCTTAGGAGCCTGGGGGGTTCCGGCGTGCACCGCCCCGTCCCCGCCCCCCAGGCTGGCTGGAGGAGCTGGGCTTCTCTCCGTGCGGCTCTCCTGACTGCCCACCCCCGCAGACCTTCCCTGGTGAGCCTGGATGTGGCCGCTCGCATGAGGGCTGTGGTCCCACTGAGCTGGGGGCGTGGACTCCGGCCTGTGCACGGGGTCCGGCCGTGCGGCAGCCCCACCCTCCTCTCCCCACACCTGCAGCCTGAAGCTGGGCCACTCGGCCTTCCCGCGGGCCGACCTGGCGTCCATGGAGCGGAGCGTGGGGCGCCTGCGCACCATGCACTCCAAGATGCTGATGGACATCGAGAAGGTGCAGATGCACTATGGGGGCTCGGTCAAGGCCAGCAGCCAGATGATCCACGAGCTGCTGCAGGCCCAGTGCCTGGGCTCCCCCTGCTGCAAGCGGTAGGATGGGGGCAGCCTGAGCCCCTGGGAACGCCTCAGCCCGCGGCTGGGAGAGCCCTGAGGAGGGAGGGGCGTGTGTGTGTGTGTGTGTGTGTGTGTATATGTATGAATGTGTATGTGTGACTGTGTGAGTGTATGTGTGTGACTGTGTGTGTGTATGTGTGTGACTGTATGTGACTGTGTGTGACTGTATGAGTATGAGTGTGTGTGTGACTGTATGTGTATGTATGAATGTGTATGTGTGACTGTGTGACTGTGAGTGTATGTGTGCGCATGTGTGTGATTGTGTATGTGTGTGACTGTATGTGTGACTGTATGAGTATGAGTGTATGTGTGTGTGTGTGTGAGTGTATGTGTATGTATGAATGTGTACGTGTGACTGTGTGAGTGTGAGTGTATGTGTGTGCCTGTGCATGTGAGTGTATGTGTGTGTGTGTGTAACTATGTGTGAGTATGAGTGTATGTGTGTGTATGTGGGTGAGTGTATGTGTATGGATGAATGTGTATGTGTGACTGTGTGAGTGTGAGTGTATGTGTGTGTATGTGTGTGAGAGTGTGTGTATGTTTGAGTGTATGTGTGTGTATCTGTGTGACTGTGTGTGTGTGTGTGAGTGTATGTGTATGTATGAGTGTATGTGTGTGGATGTGGATGTGTGTGTGTGTGCGAGTATATGTGTGTGTGTGCATGTGAGTATGTGTGTGAGTGTGATTCCCAGGATGGCTGGCCAGGAGGCTGCTCTGCTCACCTGCCTGTCCGCCCTAGCTCCTGACCTGGCCCCAGAGGCCCTGAAACAGCGGCCCCGCCCCCTGGCAGCTCCAGGTCAGCCCGTCCCGTCCCCCGCTGTCCCCCTCACAGGGTGTCGGAGATGAGCGCCTTCAGCTTCACCACAGTGTCGCGGCACTGCGGGGGCAGCCACACCCTCACCTACCCCTACCGCCGCACCCGCCTGCAGCACCTGCAGCAGGGGCTGTTCCCCGAGGACGCCCAGATCGCCAGGAAGGTGGGCGCTGCCCGAGGGCAGGAGGAGAGCCGCATGGCCCCGGGCCCCCGTCCTCTGGAAACCACCGAGGTCACTGGGGATCGATCCCACAACCTGAGCGTGTGCCCTGACTGCAATCCAACACGGGACCCTTCAGTCCGCAGGCCCATGCACTATCCACTGAGCAACACCAGCTAGGGCGAGGCATTTTCTTAGTCAGACCCAGTTAACACCTCAGGTTCTTACCCTTGGCCGGGAAAGGAATGCCATCCTGGCCATCCACCACCGGGCCGGGGCCCTGAGAGCCAAAGCCCCTCCCCTCCTCTCCCTGTCCATCTGCCCGGGGCCCACAAGGGGCTGAGCGCGGTGGGTGCTGGCAACGGGAGGTCCGAGGGCTGTGCCAGGCTGCGTGGAGACAGGGCCAGAGGGAAGCCTCCGGGCCACGTGGTGATGCCCCTCCCTCCGCAGCACCACGAAGTGGACATCCTGGGCCTGGATGGACATATTTACAAGGGACGGATGGACATGAGGCTGCCAGGCATCCCCACCAAAGACAGTGAGTGTCCGGGGGCCCAGGCGGCCCCCAGGACGGCGAGCTCCCAGAAGGCCAGGCGCGTGGACCCGGGCCCCTGGCTGCTGCTCCACCTCCAGCCCCAAAGGATCCGTCCCCAAAGCCCGGCTGTTTGCAGGGCAGCCAGCTGTGCAGTCCCCGCAGCCCCTCCCCGCCCTTGGGTCCACGTGTCCCGTGTCCCCCCCCCCCCCCCCCCCCCCGCTCAGTTTGGGTCTGAGAGCCCCCCCCCCCCCCCAGGCGCAGGGAACAACAAGCACAAGATCAAGCCGTCGCGCTCCCACACGCTCCGGCAGCTGGACAGCAGCCAGCTGCCCCTGCGGCCTCAGAGTGCCCACATGGCGGCCGGCAGCATCTCAGGTAGCTTCCCTCTGGGGGGTCCTCCTGGGCCTGGGCACTGCCCGCCATTCCCTTCCTGCCAATGGCTGGGAGAGGCAGGGAGAGCTGAGGGCTGGGCCTGGGGGGCAGAGAACACATCACCGCAGGGGGCGTGGAGACACAACTCCAGTCTGTGGGGCGGATGCTGCTGTGAAGGCCCCATTTCACAGACGAGGAGTCAGACAGGGAAGCAGCCCAAGACTCTGGCTCCAGGCCAAGCCCCCACCACCACCACGTGCTCACAGCCTGTGAGGGCCATTGAGCCCTCCGTCTGCTTCTGCCTGCGAGGCTCTCCTCCTTGCCCCCCACCCAGCTCGGAAGGGTCCCGAGAAATCTCCGGCTGAGGGCCTCCCCAGTGAGGCCACACCCGGGGGCCAGGGAGGCGCGCCAGTCTGGGGCCAGGAGCAGGTCGCTTCCAAGCACCTCCAGCCGTTTCCTCTGTCAGTGATGGGCGCTGGGCTTGGGCCGCTGGGTGGGACCCTCAGACCCGGCACCTGCAGAAGCTGGAGGTCAGGGCCAGGCCTGGGGCTGTGACGCTGCTGCGGGCCCAGCTCAGGGAGCGGCGGGAGGAGAAGCAGCTGCGGGTGATCAGGCACTGGCCTGCAGGAGCCGCTCAGCTCCCGGGCGCTTTACACGTGGGAACGATTGAGTCCTCGGGCCAGCGTTAGGGGAGGGGCCCCGCCAGCCTCACCTGCACTGAGGCCCCGGCCCCGGCCCCAGGCCTCAGCTAGGAAGCGGCAGCGCTGGGTGCCGAGCCCAGGCCTCCGGCCCCAGGTACGAGGCGGGGAGAGGGGGCTCCGAGGTGGACAGAGCGTGGTTTGAGGCTGTTTTTTTGGGTACTGCACTCCCTTCTCCCTGGCACCCACTGTCTACGCCAGTCATCGGCAAATCGCAGTTCTCGACCCAAATGCGGTCTTTGGCCTCTTGAGTGTGGCTCCTCCACAAAATACCACGGCCTGGGCGAGTCTGTTTTGAAGAAGTGGCGTTAGAAGTTCAAGTTTTAAAAATGTGGCTCTCCAAAGAAATGTCCATTGTTGTGCTGTGGATATTTGGCTCCGTTGGCTTATGAGTTTGCCGACCACTGGTCTACGCCAAGGGCACCTGAAAAGCATGGGAGCAGGGGGAGGAAGGGGAGGCCTGGGCATTCCTGCTCGGGTGTGACTGTGGTCTAAACAGCCCGTTCCCGAGGAACCTAGACCGAAGGGGGGCTCTTGGCCGAGGAGGCTGGTGTTTCCCTCGGCGATGAGAAAGGAGCTTTGCTTCGGGGGCCTGTGAGGACTGCACCCGGCCCAGGGCAGGGCCTTCTCCAGCAGGGGGCTGTGGGGCCATGGGGAGCGAGGCAGAGCCCCCCCCCAAACCCTCCTGTCTTGCAGCTACTTCTCGGCAACACACAGACAGACCGGTCTCCTCGGAGGGGCGCCTCTCCCAGCCGACCATGGCCCACCTGCCCAGCCCCGGCGGGATGGCCATGCACATGGACGTGCCTCCCGGGGAGGGCATGGAGGAGCCCACCCGGGGGCCCAGGACCCCCAATACTCGCTGAGCAGAGCTATAAATAAATGTTTGCAAGAAGCTGGCTTCCCTGTCCTGGCTCAGGAGGTGCAGAGGGAGGGGCCCGGGCCAGGTGCTCCGGGCGGCAGGCCTCTGGGAGAGGGCGTCTGGCTTACAGTGTGAGGATTAGGCCGGGGCCCCCCAGAGGGGGCCATCGAGGGAGCAGCCGGCAGGGCTGGACGGGACACCGCCTTCCCTGCCATGGCCGGCCTTCCTGTCGGGCACGGTGTCTGGGAGCAAGCTGCACCTTGGAACAAAGGTGAGGGTGGCAGCTGCCCGCTGCTCCCCTGCGCGGCTCGGCAGTGCCAGCTCCTGGCACAGAGCCCGGAGCACTGCCCAGCCGCCGGGCCTCTGCTTACCCGCGGAGCAGGCGGTTCAGAGCGGGGCTGCGGGCTGGGCTGTTCTTATCCCTTCTCTTCCCAACCCCGAGAGAAAGGGGGTCCCCAGGCCTGCGTCCTGCCCTAAGCTCCTTGCTCCTCTCCGCTCACCCCCCAGGCGCAGGGTCAGTGCCGAGTCCTCAGCTGAAGGCTGGGCGGGTGGGTGGGGTGGGGGGAAAACAGGAGCAGGCTGGGTGCAGCAACCACAGGACAAGGCCCCGGGTGTCACCCAGGGACCAGGCAGCGCCCCACCCCAAGACTCTCGAGTCACTGAAGCAGTTCTGTGCCTCAGGTCTGTTCCCATTAGCTCCTCCTCAAAGGTGGGGATCCCCCACCCCCAGTCCCTCTCCACCCCCCATGGGAAAGCAACCTGGGGCAAGGCCTGCTTTAGGGTGTGAGGGGCGGGGTGGCAGCCTCACAGGAAAGTGTGGCAGGAAACAGCCCCGAAAAGGGGTTCTCCCTGTCCCCACCCCTGTGGGCAAGGAGGCGGGGCTGGCAAGGTGTCACGGGAAAGGTAGGGGCTCCCCCTCCGAGGGGCTCCCCCTCCTCCCCCACCTGCGGGGCACACTCATCTAAGTAATGAGGGACACTCAGGCTCGGTGGAGGGAGGGCCAGTCGGCGGGCTCCCCCACGCAGCACCCTGCCCCGCAGGCAGTGAGCCAGGCCAGCCTCTGCTCCGCTGCCGCTGGGGCTCCCGTTTCTCTCTGCCTGGACGGGAGGGGCAGCCACAGGGCCCGGCAGCCCTCAGCACAGGACACGGGGTGACACCCCGGGCAGGCAGGCCGGGCCCGGGGTGAAGTCCCAGCCCCCACCCCCCGGCCGCAGGGGCAGCCCCAGCCCGGGAACACGGTGGGCAGCTGCAGGGGTTTCCAACCAGGAAACACAACCGAAAGGACAAGCCCGGCCTCAAAGTTCGGGCCGCGTGGGGGTTCAGGGGCACCTTTGGCGCCGGGGCCTGGGCGGCCCTCTTGCTCCCGGTCCACAGCACGGCCGTGCCAAGAGCAGGCAGCCGGCAGACAGCCTGGACCGGGCGAGGGTGCTGGCCCCTCCCTCTGACCCGCCCCCAGACCAGCAGCGCATTCACGTGGTTAGTTATATTCATATATTTATATATTACAGTTATATATTAAAAACAGAAAAACTTGCCTGAAGAGAAACTCCTGAAGAACCCAAGTGGCTCAGGAAGTTTACTGTCCCCCCGCCCCCCAAATTCCTTTATAAAATCTTCCAGTGCGATCTTCAGGAAACCCCGCCCGCCCAGCCCCCGCCCGCCCGCCTGTGTCCCCACGACCCGGACTGCCAGCTCAGCCCCGCGGCGTGGCCAGTCTCATCTCTGGCCGTCCACGGCGGCCATGGCTTTCTGCGGGGCGCCCCCCTGCGGGGCTCCGGGGGGCCACGTGGGCTGTGGGTGGTGGAGGTGGTGGAAGCTGTGGGCTGTCGGGGAGGAGGGCGGCATCCAGGCGGCCTGGTGGCTGGGCGGGGACGAGGCCCAGAAGGGGCTGAAGCTTGCGGGAGGCGAGCAGGCCGCGGCCGTCATGGGGCTGCCGCTCTGCAGGCCCTCGGACGCGCGCAGCTTGGAGAACATGGCCAGGGCGTCGGGGAAGTTGGGCGGTGTGGCTGGCGTGTTGCTGGGGGTGCACATCTGCTCAGAGAGACACACGTGTCAGGGAGCTGTCCACGGCCCCCGAGTCCCAGCACAAAGCACCCCTCTCCGAGCCAACAAGAACAAGAACACAAGGACACCCTGGCCCTTTCCACCAGCACAGGGCTCCTGACGCTTAGCAGCTGCCCCGAGGCGTGGGGGCGAGAGGGGTTAATTCCCACCAGAGCCGGGTGTCAGATTAAAGCAGGCCGGGAGCAGCCCAGGACACCAGGTGGCCTGGCCGGTAGGAGCCCAGCTGGCCCCTCGGTGATCCGCCCGTGTTCCGAGCTGCTGGGGGGTGGGGGGATCAGGTCCGCCCAGCAGCCCGGGGAGCGGAGGCGGTGTTGGTTTCAGGCCGAGGTAACACCAGCCTGGGTCTCGTTTCTCAGTGATGTCAGGACTGTCCCGCTACCCTCTTGAGACTGCAGATGGGGAAACCGAGGCCCAGAGCTCGGTTACTTGACAAACACCCGCACAGGGGCCGAGCCAAGAAGGGGTCCGGGGTCCGAAGGCCCAAGCTGAGCCTCCCTCAGCCCCTCACAGTCAAGTGCAACTCTGTGGGTGGCTCCCCCAGGACAAAAACCCGGGCGTTGGTTTCCCGAGTCCTGGCATCGCCCCCCAGGCTGCTCTTGGCTGAGGTTGTCAGGGGATCTGTCTGTCCAGCCCCTCTCAGCCCCCTTCCTTTCCTTGGGGGGGAGGTCACCACAAACATCCTGCCTGCTGTCTTCGGCTACTACCTGGAGGGGGCTCCCCAAACTCCTCACTATCCTGCCATTTCTGGCCAGGGAAGCCCAGCAGGAAGGGCAGGAGCCGGGGAGGGGCTGGAGCCGGCACCCTCCCTGTGAACACGGGGCTGCAGGATGGGGGTGGAGGTGCCGGGAGCAGAGCCTACACAAAGCCCGCTCCTGACCTCGCCAAGCTTCTCCCTTTCCCAGGCAGCCACGAGTCTATCTTTGAATTTCTCCTAATTTTAGCAACATCGCCCCTCCCCCAGGCCAGATTCTAGGACTCCTCACCTGGCAGGGAGGAGCTTCAGGGCTCTCGGCTCAGCCCCAGCCAAAAAGGGAGGGGACACCCCACCCTGTTCCCGGCCGCCCCAGTCAGCCGCTGGGAAGCTCTGACCATTGTCCGCCTTAGGGGCAGCCTCACCCAGACCACAGGCTTCCCTGCTCCCTCATTCCCTGCCCCACCCCCACCCCAGGGCTGGCTTCCCCGCAGCAGGAAACAATGAAGGGGGGGGAAGCCAATGGCATCACAGCATTGTGACCAACTTCCCCAGTTCACCCGGCCAGCGAGTACCGCGCCCCCCCGCCGCCCCTCCCCCCGCCCCCCCCGCGAGCCAGCGGCCGGGGCAGCTCCTTAACCCCTCTGGTCCCGGAACGCCGGGAGCTGCTCCGGGGGCCGAAGGCCCTCCCGCTCCGAGCTTTCTGACAGCTCCTAGTACTCAGGCCCATGGCACCCCAAGGCACCCCGCCAGTGTCCTGCCCCCCTCCCTCGTCCATGGGCTTCTCCCTCCCAACCAGCCCAGGCCCCCTGCCACCACGTGCCTGTGCGTCGGCTACAGGCAACCCCTCTGGCTGCTCACACCTGGTGCCTTCTGATGCAGCCTCGCCATCAGTCTCTGCGGCTGCTTAACTTTTCCCTTTGGTTTACTGTCTAAAGGACTAGCTCCTCGCAGGCAGGGTGTGCACTGGGCCTGATGGGCGCACCGATTAGTTGGTTACACAACCCAGCCTGCCTGGGGCGAGGGAGCTTCAAAGGACTGGATACGTGGGGACGGGCAGATCAGGGGCCTCCGGACCTAGAGGGACCTCCATCCCAGTTCTCGCCCAGAGCCTCCCTGCCACGCACCACACAACGCTGTTCTGGGCGCCCTGGGCCTAGGGGGCCAGCGGCGACCCTTTGGGGGGAGTCGGGCAGGGGGCACAGGCGGGGAGGGCCGGCCTTACAGCCGTGGCCCTGCCGCCAGCAGCTCTCCCGCCCCAGCCCAGGGGCTGGTCTGTGTACAGCGTGAGCCACTCCAAGGAGAAGCGGCCTTTTCTGTCTCCGTAACTACACAGGCAGGCTGAGGGCGCCAAGGACAGGCACCAAGGAACCATTTGCAGATCCTCCGAAAAGGGAGCCACTGGCAAGGACACCAAGTGCCAAAATGCACTCCCAAAGCCACAACAGACCTGGGAGTCAAGTTTTACACCCGCTGGGGCTGGGGCTGGGCAGGGGCTGGGCAGGGACAGTCCCGCCCTCCCCCCAAGCGGGGTAATAGGTAACCAGGGGGGGGGGAGGGCCAGGCCTTCCAGTCCCGCAGGGAAGGGATGTCCGGTGAGTGGAAGGCAGAGGCTCAGGCCTGGGGGCCGGAGGAGAAAAGAAAGCAAAGCCCGGCCCCGCCGACCACTCCTGCTCCCAGGCTCCTGTAGGTTCCCACGCTGAGATCAGAAGCAAATTCCTGGCATTTTCTGGTCAAAATCTATTCTGTCCTCCGAGCTCGGGGAATGTCCTCCGAGCTCGGAGAATGTCCTCTTTCCCACAAACAGGAAAGAGTGTGCATACCCCTTTGGGTCGAGCCTGGCCAGGGTGGCTCTATCTCCTTCCTGTTCCTGGTGGAGCTGGGTGGTTTGGATGGGGGCTGCCTGCCCGACAGCAAGAGGGGGGTCCCCGGACACAAGACACCGCGGCCCCCAGGCCCTCCCGCCCCCAACCCCCCCTGCACGGGGCTCCCGGGCCCAGCCGCCCCCTCTCCGCCCCCAGAGCCCCCTCCCCGCTCCCAGCCGCCCTCCGACCCCCGGCCCCGGGGAGGACCCCGGGCGCAGGGCTTTGGGCCGGGCCGCGGAGCCGGAGGCCGGGCCGGGCCCGGCCGCTTTCCTGGAAGACATTTTGGCTCTTTGTTTACATCGCGGCGCTCGCGGCAACATGGCTGTCACCGCGGGGCTGACAGCGGCGGCGGCGCCCGGCCCGGGACCCCTCCCGCCCGCGGCCGCACTTACCATCTGGGGGTGGTGGTGGCCGTTGGGAATGTTGGTTTCTTGGAAAAACGTGCTCAGGGCGGTCTGCGGGGACAGCGCGGGGCGGTCAGCGGGCCGGGCCGGGCGGGCAGCCCCCGAACAGCCGGCCTCCGCTGGGCCCCGGCCCCGGCCCCGGCCCCTCCGCCGGCCGGACGCGCCGCCATGGGGCGTCCCCGGGCCCCGCGCGGGGGCACCGGGCGGCAGGGCCCTCCGCGCCGCCCCGGCCCGCGCCCCACCTCGCGGCCGCGGATCGCCTTCCGGGACCTCGCTACCCCCCCCCCCCCCCCGGCCCCGAGGCCGCCCCCGCCGCCCGCACCTCGAACTGCCAGTGGGCCGCCTGCAGGAGCTGCTTCGCCTGGTCGGCCGCACAGCCCGCCGCCAGCACGAACTGGTTGATCATGACCTGGTGCCGCAGCTCCTCCATGTTCACCGACATGGCTGCGCCGGGGCTCGGCGGCCGCGGGAGGCCGGCGCCCGGGCTCGCGCTCCGCCCGCCGCCTCGGGCCGCCGCCGCCGCGCTGCCCGCCGGGCGAGAGTCGCGGTGCGGCTCCCGCGGCCGCCGGCGCACAGACAACAGCGCGGGGCGGGGCGGGGGCCAACGTTCGGGGGCCGCGAGCCGCCGCCGCTGATTGGCCCGCGCCGCGCGGCCCGCTCCCGGTTCCGAGCGGACGTTCGGTTCGAATCCCGAGGCCTCCGGACCCGCACTGTTTCCCTTTTTTCGCCCGGCCGCGCCCATTGGCGGAGGCCGGCGCCGTGGGGCGCCGCGACATTGGCCGGCCGCTGTGTTTTGGCCCGTTCGGGCTCGCGATTGGCCACGGCCCTGCGTTTGGGGCGGGGCCGCGCGCGCTGATTGGTTCCCCGTGAGCCCGTTTGAACTCAACTTGAAAACCCGGAGTGCCTGCTGATTGGCCCAGGCGCCTCTGTTTGGTGTTGTAGGCTTGGGGGGTGGTGCGGCCAAGTTCATTCATTACTTCATTGAGACTGAACATGCTCAGCTGGAAAAGCGAGACAGAGTGGCTTTGACTCATTTCCTCTGAAAGATGTGGTCATCTCGAGAAACAGAACGATCAAAACAGAAAGCAGATAGAGCCTGCGCAGCTGCTCAAGCCTCAGAGAGTGTTTTTTTTTTTAAATCGTTCAAGCAGCTCTACTCCTTTTTAGCCTTTTAAAAAAATATAACGTACCCTTTTCATACTTCCTTCCCGTCACTACTCACCCCAAAGGCCAAGCAGGTTTTCTGTGTGTGTGTGTGTATGTGTGTATGTGTGTATGTGTGTGTTTGTGTGTGTGTGTGTGTGTGTGTGTTTGTTTGTGTGTGTTTAGACCAAAATTTAGCTCTCTGAAAATGTAAACCAATGCTAATGTACACTAAATATCATTGCAAGGGAATAAATAAGACCTTCTCAGTCACTAATATCCTAAACTCCGATTTTTGTTGTTGTTGTTAAATTGATTGATTTAACCAAATATTTAATTTCTACCCTCTTTTTCATGCATTGTTATACAGGTTCTGGCTCTCAATCCTAGCCACTTAAAAACAGTTTGTTTATAGTGCTCCACCTTCTGGATTAGGATTTGACCTTCAGGGCTGTGGTTGGGAACTGAGGGGGTGGATAGAAAACTAAGAGCTGAAGCAGCCTGTGGAAGGGCCGAGACCTTAGGAAGATAACATTACTGGAGATTCCCTATTAGAATGTCTGTTTCTAAAAGAAAGTATTACGTTTCGGATCTTTTGAGGCTAAGAATAAAGACCCATGATCCTATTCTGAGTTTGCCTGACATGGATTTAACGTGCCATCGAAGAAAAGAGGACCATCTAAACAGAGCATAAACTGGGAAATAGTGACACCCAATGTTTATTACTGATGGAAAACAGCCTCGGGCACTAGCATGAATTTTCCCCTTTTAGCCTTTTGTTTGTTTGTTTGTTTTGAAGGGACGGGAGTCAGCGTTTTGCTGTGATTACACTTGGCCTCCCCACTGTGTGCCTGGGCTGAGACCGGGCGGGCGGGCGGAGAGGCCAGTCCAGCTCGCAGCTCTTCCCCCGTAATTGCAGGGTGAAAACAAAAGTGGGCAACCGGCAGCCTCCGCGCTGGGAACCAGGAAGTCCTGTCACTGCGGGCGCGCTTTCACAGGTCCGTGCAGGTGCCAAACGTGCCAGGGCCGTGAGTGGCAGCATGTCCCTGGGCGGAGGCATTCAGCCGCAGGAGTTCTTAGGTCTCAGGTAAGGAGTTCGAGAGGGAGACGAGGGCCCGAAAGTGCCCACATTGCCAAACCTCTTGCCTCCTGGACACTGAGGCAGTCAGTCCCGAAGGGTGGTGTAAGGTTTACCATCTGCAGGGCCCCTGGGAGAGGCGTGGAAGGCAAGACCCCCAAGCCAGAGAGACGGGGTGACGGTTCTTTACGATGGGCCTGAGGTTGGTCTGGGCTGAGTGACATGCGGCTGCGAGGCGGAACGTGATCATTTGGCTTCATCCTCCTCTGGGCTGGGTAACCTGGGCGTGCCCGGCCTCCCCCCCCCCCACTACTCCCCCCTCCCCACATGCCCCTCCCCCAGATCAGTGCAGGGAGCACGGATGAGGTCATGTTTAGAGGGCTCTGAGCTATGGGATGAAAGCGACTCCCAAGTGCAAGGTGTCATTAACTCAGGTGTTATTATTTTATCTGCGAGGACAATGTGCGCAGGTAGAGCAGAGCCATAAACACAGGCCCATTAACAGCAAATGGAACACAGCCGTGCCCTGGGAGGAACAGAATCCTCCTCCGTGAGGGGTCTCGGCTGCAGAATGAGCGGAGGCGCAGCTGGGATGAGAAGCAGCCTTGGCCAGGAGTCCCTCGGGTGCAGATAACAAGGATGTTTTATTTTATATATATATTGGTTTCAGCCAGGGAGGGAGAGGGAAGGGGGGGTAGAAACATCAATGATGAGAGAGAATCATTGATCCGCTGTCTTCTGCGCCTCCACGCGCCCCCACTCCCCATGGGGACGGAGCCTGCAACCCCGGCATTTGCCCTTGACGGGACCCTTTAGTCAGCAGGCCGACGCTCTATCCACTGAGCCAACCGGCTAGGGCTTTTTAAAGCTCTACTTTTTTTCTACTGCGGAGGTTTGAAAATGAGTGAGCCTCGGTGGGGAAGAGGGGCCAGCTGTCTTGCGCAACCGTGGGAGGGATGGAGGATTGTAATCCCCACCTCCATCTCTGCAGGGCACTGGGTTCCTGTTCCTTCCTTCCTCCATTCTCTCTTACTCCCCTGACCCAAATGGGTCCAACCAAGCTGAGGGGAACTCCAGGGCCCTCAGGTACGGAAGGCCCGCCGTGTGCAGGTTCCTGGGACACTGCACAGCGCTGCACAGCATCTCTGGCTTCAAACTCCCAATTGGTGTGAAGCTCGGAGAGGGCAAGGAACCTCCTCAGGGTCACACAGCCCCTGCCTGATTTGTGCCAGCAGTAAGATCAGATGGGTTAGATCTGGTGTGAGTGATCCCGGAGCTCATTTCCTTCCTCCCCTCCTTCCTTATTATTATTATTATTATTTTAGTTCCTCTATTGTTGCTTCAAGACGCCACGTGGTTAGGAGGAGCAGAGAGATATTGAGAGGCGAGGAAGATGGGAAAGGATGCAAATGCCAAGATAAGGAAACACAGCCCTCAGGCCCCGAGGGGCAGCGCTCCTGTGGGTCATCCAGGAGGCGGGAGGCAGCATCTGGGGACTAGGGCAGGCAGCTCCCTGCTGGGGGGGGGGGGGGGGGCGCGGACTCTGCCGCTATTGCTTGCTCTGTCTGCTCAGTGCGACCTCAGTTAGTAACTACTTTTCCTTGGGAATGGGAGCCGTGTCTACTGTAAGAATATATATTTTATTGATTTTCCACAGAGAGGAAGGGAGAGGGATAGAGAGCTAGAAACGTCGATGAGGGAGAAACATCGACCAGCTGCCTCCTGCACAACCCCCACTGGGGATGTGCCCGCAACCAAGGTACATGCCCTTGACCGGAATCGAACCCGGGACCTTTCAGTCCACAGACCGACGCTCTATCCACTGAGCCAAACCGGTTTCAGCTCTGCTCAGTTCTGTTCTTCTTTCTTTTTTAAAAAATTACCTTAGTTAGCACAACAACCCAGCGATGTTGGGACCAGGCCTATCCTCAGTGAACAGACGCGAGAAATGGGATCAGAGAGGTTAAGTGACTTGCCCTAAGTGGCTCAGCGAGCTCAGGGTGGAGCTGAGAGCTGAACCCCTGGGGCTCCCCAAGACCCCAGTCTACTCTCCATCCTGGCCTGCCCACTGCTCCACCCCCCTCCTCCTCAGGGACCCTGGGCAGGTAGGGACGCTGGTCTGTGCTGTGAGGAGGAGCAGGGAGGTCAGACTGGTCGGGGGCTGAGGTCACGCCGGTGTACACGGTTACCGGTTCACTCACAGCCACGTGCCTCCGGGGACAAAGGCCAGACCGCGCCCGGCAGAGCTAATGGCGTTTCCCGGAACAGCCCGGTGGCCGGTCGCTCCGTCCTGTGCCCGCGGCCCGGCGATAAGGCGGCCTCGCCACGCGGCCAGGTGTGCTGGGGGAGGTGTGTCCCCGCCGTCCTTTGGAGGGACCCCGAGGTCGCTTGGCGGAGGGGAGGAGGCAGGCAGGCAGGGACAGCTCAGGAGCGGCCTCCGCTCAGGGGGCCTTGGCGGCCGGCTTAGACCCAGGCTCCCGGCCACTTTCCCTCAACGGCGCTGGGCCTCCCACCCCATCCCGGCATCCAAAACACAGGGTCTTGTTGCTGTGGCAGCTGCTAACCTGACTGCCCCCTCCCCCCGCCATTTTTAAAAGAAATATATCATACACCTCCTTAGCTCAGTGGTCGGCAAACTGCAGCTTGAGAGCCACGGTTGCTGCTCTGCTGACTGCGTTTGCCGACCACTGCCTTAGGAAAAACACTTAAAAAACATTTTAATAATGTGCTAATATCTTTAACCTGAAGTCAAAACTTCTGGGTAAGGGTAATGCCTTATGCAGTGGTCGGCAAACTCATTAGTCAACAGAGCGGCAGTTTGCCGGCCACTGCCCTAGCTGGTTTGGCTCCGTGGATAGAACATCGGTTCGAGGACTGAAGGGTCCCGGGTTCGATTCTGGTCCAGGGCATACTCCTCGATTGCAGGTTCTAAGCCTGGCCCTGGCCAGGGCGTGTGCAGGAGGCAACCAATTGATGTGTCTGTCTCACATCGATGCTTCTCTCTCTCTCTCTCTCCTCCCATTCCACCCTCTCTAAAAAAGAAAGAAAAGAAAAGAAATACATCATATACCAAGAGTTTGTGTATAACCTACGCACAGTCTGAAGAGTAGGAAAGATCCCAACATGCTAGTAGAACTTAAAAGTCCTAGACTAGTACCTTTGAAACCCTCACATGACTCTCCCCCAAAACATACTCCCTGCGCCCCAAACTCATGATCCTTAAATGTGCATTAGTCATTTCCTCGGTTTTCTTTGTCAGATAATCCATTGTTTGTGGTATCTCCAAGCAGTGCATTGTGGGTATGACAGATGGAGCTCATTGAGTAGGTGACTCACCTTTCTGCAGGGCTCAGTCCCGTCCCCTCCACTCACCCCGCGGGTGAGCTCAGCAGAGGCCCCTTACCAATATGGAGCGCTTGAAGCGAGGGCTAGCTCTCTTCCATGACCTCAGACAACGCTGAGC